GCGGCTGCTAGAGCACATAAGTCCTTGCCAAGCCTATAGCCCTCAAGACCGCAAGTGTTTCATTAGGGTTCCGCCAGAGTGGATGTAGCAGTCGATAGCCTTATGGACAATGTATCATTCCGCCGGCCTCGAGCGGAGAATGCTCATCCAGGATGAGCAGGTCTTGCGTGGATGAATGTTCCAGGAAGGCGAGAGAGTAAGAAGTCTGCTTGACCACACGAACATAAAGCTTCACTTGACCCAAAGCTTGCTCATTGATTTGAGCGTGAGCACAATTGCTGCTACCTCATACACTGTCAACAGAACTACCGGTCACGAGCGATTATCGCATTATACACTATCAACAAAAGGTCAGTGTTCCTAAATTAGTTTCGGATGCCAGTTTCTAATATCTACAAGTCCACAATGCAACCTCTCCTCGCTTTCAAAATTTCTTTACTAGGACTAAGCCCAGCGGTCTACGGCTGGTGTGGTCAAGTCTACCAGGACAACGTAGTGTGTGGTTACAACGACAACGTTGCCATCATGCAAGGAGATTGCAATGCCATCGGCGGGAACCCCTCAGACTGCCTGACAAACCAAGTTCGAGCGTGGATTATATGCGACCAGGTTCCGACTGGTCCACACAAGTATACATTGACAGATGGTCAGCGTCGCACGGTCGATATTTACCAGTATGGGACTGGTTGCGAGTAGAAGGGATCCAAACTAGCGCCTCGAACCGACGAGCAGAAACGGAGCGGAGGTAGAGTCGTGACACAATTCTTGTCTTTGGCGCATTTTCTCTTAACACTACAATCTGGTCGCGCCGCGGTCGACTGCAATATCTTAGTACACATCGCTCACATATCGATCAGTCTTCACGCTCTGCAACCACTTCTCTGCGTCTTCCATGGTCACTCCACGAGCCTCAGCATAAAGTTTCATGCAAGCCTCGGAAACACTCTTCCCCAGTCTCGCAGCACTACCGCAAAGGAAGACTTTGCCGCCGTCTCTAAACATCTGGGAGAGCTCTTCTTTGTGCTCAGCAATCAAATCTGGCACATAGCGTCGGTGCTCTCCATCGTCCATCTTACTGAAAGCTGTTAGGACCTTGACGATGCCTTGCTTTTCCCAATTCTCGAGTTCATCGCGGTAGATGTAATCTTTGTCTTTGTGGCGACAGCCGAAGCACAGGACTGCAGGGCCAAGTACATCTGCGCCCTGTGCCTGGGCAATGGCGGAACGCTCTTGCAAGAAGGCCCGCATTGGCGCAATATCTGTTCCAGCTGCGAACATGATAAGAGGAGTTTTCGGTTGTGGCAAGCGGAAACCGATTTGTGTGGGCCGAACGAAGCATGTGATCCTGTCCCCTAATCTTCTCGAAGCCAGGTATGTGGATGCGACACCCCGGAATTCGCCTTGTCCAGACAGCGCGGGTGACTCGTGAACATCGATTGTGAGTGAGACTGCGTCGGGACTCACGAGTGGCGAGGATGAGATGCTGTATTGGCGAGGCGCCAAGACCTGAAGCATGTCGACGTATTGTTCGAAGGGAATGGTGGTACCCGTCTCCTCGAGAACATCAATGACACTGTACCGCTTCTCCAGGATTTTGTCGTAGTTGTCTGCCATACGAGCCAAGGCGTCTTTCTTATTCCCAGGAGCATGTCGGGATACAATCTCCAGTTGGCGCTTAGTGATGGGAGTCGCGAGCTCGACTGCAGATGAAAGAAATTCGCGGACAGAAGTAGGCTCCTGAGGTAGGAACTTCTTGGACGTTCCACTGAAGGATACTAGATCGTGCTCATGGAGATCGAAGAGCCTTGTAACCCGCTGTACTGAGGCCAGAGGGTTGCGAGGCTGCACGACGAGATAGTCGCCAGCGATATATGGAGTGTCCTCTGGCAGCTGCACTTCGATATGACGTTTGGCTGGTCCCATCTCTGTGCCTGCAAGCTCTTTGTTGGCTATGATCGTGCCATACTTGGGAGCTTCGCCATCCGAAGTTGAGGGTCTGCGCTGAAGCGTAGCTTTGATTGTAGGCTCATGTGGCTCGCCGGCATCCCCGTCGCCAGCTGTGAGCGTTCTCATGAGTTTGTGCAACCATTCGTCCCAGGGACCGATAAGATCTGTCTTTACATTGCAAGTTCCCAGCTCCGCAATTCGTGTGCCACCAGCCTTCGCAATGAAATCATCCACGAGCTTGGGGATGCGATGGAATGTGGTCGCCCAATCAGAATTTCCGACACCGAAAACAGCATACTTCACGTTTGCCAATGGGCGCGAGTCTTGTTTCAGTCCTTCGAGCCAGGTGACAAACTTCTTGGCGTTGTCCGGCGGAAGTCCTTCATATGATGATGTGATGAAGACAGCGGGTCGATCGGTGGGGATGTCTTCCGTGGCAGAGTCAAGGCTGGATATGGAAGTCTTGAATCCTCGGTCTTTAGCGGCTGTCTCCAGGCCCTGCGCTAAGGCCTCACAAGTGCCTGAACGAGCATTAGTTGACTGAGTCTGCGGGGCTTGCACTCAAGATACATACCTGAGTTGCCACCAAAATATATGGAAAGAGGCTTGCCGCTCTTCGCTTGCAATGGTTCGTCAACTTTCGGGTGCGCGCTCTTCTTATCTGACTTCTGAACGCCACCTGGGATGCCAACATAGACGGACTTGCCTTGCCTGCGCTTGACCTTCATCCGGAAATTGGCAGGCTTGATCGTCAGGGTCGATTTTACTTGGAGTTCGTAGGACGGATCTGCCATCTCAAGCTGGAAGCGCTGAAGAACCATTGCGACGTTCATGATCATTTCCTGTTCAGCAAAGGCACGGCCAATGCATGCCCGCATTCCATTCCCGAATGGTTTCCAGCAATTCGGTGGCAGCTTCGCGTAGGCTCCGTTAAGCCAGCGTTCTGGTCTGTACTCTTCGGCATCGTCGCCCCAGACAGCTGGATCACGATGGAGGGCGCTGTTGTTCACCGTGACAGGAGTGTTGGCGGGTATGAGGTATTTACCCCCAATGATCTGATCGGTCTTGGAGCTAACTGTGAATCCGCCGATCGGCGATGACAGACGCAATGTCTCTTTGATGCAGGCGTCGATCTAGATGATAGTCAGCTAGTGTCCACCACAAAGCAGTCGTGGGGCCGTCGGACATATTCGAGTTTAGGGACATGCTCCAAGGTCAGAACTTCGTCGCCCACAACCTCATCTACAATCGTCTGAGCCTTGAGAAGGACTTCGGGATGCTTTAGTAGGTTATAATACGTGAAGGCGAGCCTGTGGGACAGTCAGCGAGCCCTTAAAACATATTGATAGTAGGTACCGACGTTGCGGAAGTTGTCTCATGCCCTGCGAAATTGTCAGCTTGCACCATTCAATGGGGCGGAATCGACTTACCCGCTACCAAAAATGTGGTAAGCTGATAACGAATGTTCTCATCAGAAAGTCCCTCTCCAGTTTCCCGATCTCTGGAGTTGAGCATCACATTCAACAAATCTTTGTTGTCTGGTTGTGGGTGCTTCTTGCGATCAGCCACAATTTCGTCACAGAGCGCGTGCATAGCTTGCACGTCCGCCACTCTTTTCCGTTCAGCTCTCCGATACAGTGCTTGAATGAGTTGTGGTCGCCCAGCCTTCCTGCCACTCTCTGCAAGGACATCTGACATTTGAGTCGCAAACGGGTGTACTTCTTCTGAGTAAAACTGGTTGAAGCGGTATGAGAAGGCACAGAGGCCTATCGTGTCGAACGCAAGTCGCGTCAGATCGTCCGAACAATCGATCTCGTGGTCGGGCCCGAGTCGATCCCACTTGAGGATCATCTGTGAGGCAATGTCTTGCATGCCACCCCACATTTTCTGGATGCCGAAAGGTCCTTGCCATAACATCAGTGTCTGCGGAACTACCCCAGGCCGTTTATGCTACGTACCAAATGTGGGAATCAACATGCGATGTGCCTTGCCCCAGTTGGGCTCCTCGTTTTGTGCAGTGAACAGTCCATCTCCAGCGAGCGCACGAGCCTCTTGGAGAACACGGCCAATAAGCTTATTAAAGCGTTTGAGATCGCAGACCTCGTTGACGAGTTCTTGACTCCCAACGAACACAACTTCTTGGAAGAATTTCAGCTTGATGATCGGGCCGTATATTTGTTGAAATCGGTTGATATCTTTGAAGATATATGTGAAGTCGACGTCCGGGATGTTTCCGAGTAGACCAAACAAGTGTGGAGGTGGCTGTGGTATCTCTTGCAATTGTGAATTGGAAGGCTTCCATCTTGAGCTGCTATCTCTGTGAGTTTTTGTGACTGGGCAGCCATTCTCGGACTGCTGCTGGGTCGCAGCTGGACACGACATTTTGGCCTGATCCTATGCTGAGTGTTGTCGTTGTAAGTCAATATGGGCTGTAGAAGAGGAGTGGGTCAAAGAAAAGGTCTGCGTTTATACTCTCAGGAGCCTGTGGCGGAGATGGGGACCATATATGTCCATGCCACTGGCAAAGATCCACGTCTTGCAAGCATGCGCCATGCTGAAGAAGGACTGCAGGCCGTTAATCAGCGTGTGCCATGATACACAGCCGACGCAGCTTCCACGGTAATGCCTCCGCCGCGATCTATGATGGCCAGCGGATCGGGGTGCGAGAACGAGCTCGTATGTGCCGGTACGACTGGGTGCTGCGGCGCTGCGCATTTTCAGCCATTCTTGTAAGCATGCGCCGTGGGCAATCAGACTGCACGACGACGTGAAAGGGCAATGCTCTCGGCCGAAGTGCTGCATGACTAACGCTTCGCCAAGTAGTTAATGGGAGATTCGTGTTGGCTGGAGATCGCAGGAGCGGGCCTCGGCACGTTCGCTTTCAGCGCGAATGGCATCGGGAGTCGGCGGCTGCTTCACCGATCAATCTCCTATCAACGACACACTCTTGCGGTCTTTCATCATGAAACGCATCGCTGGCACGCGTACACTCATCATCATCTCAGCCTCATCGTGGAGCAGTGAGGTTCTTCTTGGCTTACGATACCGTGGCCGTCGCCTCGCAGCCTGCGTTGGTCGGTCGTTAACGGCACCCTAGAATCTGAACCATCCACCTCGCCTATCTACGTGCCCAGAAAGGGCTGTGCATGCCCGTTGCTGCCTTGCTGACCTCTAGGCATTTTCCGTTTCTGTTCATGCAAGAGCTTGCATCGAAGTCCTCCCAACGCGCCAACACGACAGCTATTCCTCAATGCGGCAGGGTGGCCTTGACAACCGGAGCGCGGGACTGCGAATAGGCAAGCCATGAGAATGCATAACCTGGCGTGCCTGATCTGCTCAACCACGCTCCGTTGCGCCGAAGCTATCATAGAGACGGCCTGTTTAGCATCCTGACATTCCTTATAAACAGCTGCTGGTAAAAGGCTCGCATGCGTCGTCGAACTCTAACACTTGCCCCTCAAATGGCATCATCGTAGGCACATATTCGCAACATTCATTCGACGAGATGAGTGACGATAAAGGAAGCAATATGAAGGAATTTCCGTGAAGTTCCCGTCTGATTCCCTCTCGCTCAAAACCGGCCTCCGCACGAGAAACGATCAAATGGCTGTCCTGCGCAGCGCGGCCGCGCGCCCGAAAGCACTCCTCGCAAGCTCAGCAGTAATCTCGCGCCCGTGCATTGTTCGCAGCCCTAGACAATTGTCAACCACCTCACCTCTTGAATCTCAAGGAAGCACAATCCCCTTCGAAATCACCGGCTCCGGTTCAGGCGTAGCTCAAAAAATCAGCATCGCCTCATCCCCTCACTCCATCACTACCGACGCATATCCTGCCTTTGGCGGCAAAGACGCCGCGCCATCTCCCTTGCACTTCAACTTGACCTCTCTATCCTCATGTACACAGGTCACCGGCTCTATCGTAGCGAAGGACTTGGGCATTACACTTGGAAAATGGGCTGTACAAGTGAAAGGGCAGTTGGACCCGAGTGTGCTTGTGCAAGGAAAAGAAGGGAATGCGAATTGGAATAGCATTACTCTGGAAGTGCAAGTGGAGGCAGAGGGAGTGGAGGAGAGCAAGTTTAAGCAATTTGCGAGTGAGACCGAAAGGAGGTGTCCAGTTACGCAATTGTTCAAGAGAAGTGGTGTGGAATGGCAGAGTCGGTGGGAGAATGCGAAGAAGTGATGAGGTGTAATGGGCAGTGCTGCGGTCTTCTGGCTTAGCACAACATTTCTCCTGGCCTGCAGAGTAGCGTTTAAATGTACAGCTTTCGCGCAAGTATCATCATTGATCGAATTCGCACCATGCTAGGAACAGAAAATGAATTCCTCCGCATAGTTGCTTCTTCAGCACGAAGTGGTCTGACAGGAACAAACAGCGTTCCCCAAATTCCACGAGCAACAGTATACCATACGCAGGTCCGGATCCAGATCTACGTCCACGACATGATCGGCCTGCAAGGACCAAAGTGGCGTGTGCATTCGCTGGGCTTGGCAATTGCTTGGAGAGGAAAAATCCAGAGCATGTCACTACCTTTCTCTGATTGGCTGAGAGCGATTACTTGAACAAGTGAGGCGTCGACAACATTTCCCGCTTCACCCTGTACACAGTTATCAACACCACTACCGTTGCAGTTCACTTTGACACATCCAGCGATCATGGATACTCTCGAAAGAGGAGTCATGCAAAAGGAAGAAAAGCACAACACTCAACACACAAGTGCATCAGAACAAGGACAAGAACATAACCATGCCAATACCAAGACTATGAACAACATCGACGACATCGAGAAGTCAGACACGAGGAATGCATCCAGCTCACTCGATCAAACCGACGAACGCGAAGACTCAGCAGCCACTCCAACCGCCCCACCCTTCAAATCCCTCTCCTTCCTCGACCAATATCTCGTCCTCTGGATCCTCCTCTCCATGGCCCTAGGCATAATCCTCTCCAACCTCGTCCCCTCAACCGGTCCCACCCTCCAACGCGGCGAATTTGTCGGAGTTTCAATCCCCATCGCAATCGGCCTCCTCGTCATGATGTACCCCATCCTCTGCAAAGTCCGCTACGAAACCCTCCACCACCTCCTTAAAACTCGCGAACTCTGGTACCAGATTGGGATATCCTTCGTTTTGAATTGGATCCTCGCACCGCTATTCATGACGGGTTTAGCGTGGGCTTTTTTACCTGATAGGAGGGAATTGCGAGATGGATTGATTTTTGTCGGGGTCGCGAGGTGTATTGCTATGGTTCTCATTTGGACGGATCTGGCTGGTGGGGATGGGGATTATTGTGCGGTGTTGGTGGCTTTTAATTCGATTTTGCAGATTGTGTTGTTTGCGCCCATGGCGGTGTTTTATGTGCAGGTTGTTTCGAAGAGTCCGGCCCCGGTTGCGAATGGTGGGTCGGACCTATATTCCAAGTCGGCAACGAGTGTGGCGGTTTTTCTTGGGATCCCGTTGGGAGCTGCGGTGTTGACGAGGTTGGTTTTGTTGAGGCTGATGGGCGAGAGGAGGTATCAGCTTTACTTCATCCGGTTCATTGCGCCGTGGTCGTTGATCGGGTTGTTGTATACGATCATTGTGCTCTTTGGATCGCAGGGCTTGCAAGTGGTGGAGCAGATTACATCGGTGCTGAGGGTCTGCGCTCCGCTGGTGGTCTACTTCTTGACCATCTTTCCGCTGACAGCATGGGCTATGTGGAGAGCAGGCTTTGGATACAAAGTCAGTTGCACGCAAAGCTTCACAGCTGCTAGCAACAATTTTGAGCTCGCAATCGCGGTCGTGGTGGCAGTGTATGGTGCTGGCAGTCAAGAGGCTTTGGCGGCTACTGTGGGACCATTGATCGAGGTGCCCGTGCTTGTCGGGCTTGTGTATGTGATCAAGTGGTGTCAAAAGCGTTGGAACTGGTACAAGTAGTCTTGGAAGGATATCTATATGTCAGTAGTATTCCTATTGCCAAGGACTTCCAATTCCAGGACCATACAGAAGTGCCACTTGCTAGGTACAATTTCGTGCCAATGCATCGACGTCAGACGCGACGCTTCGAAGTATCTTGATCCTGCTGGACGGCTGAAATTGTTTGCAGAGACGTCCATTCCACGAATATTTGCGAAGCCGGCTTGGCCGTCGTCAACGCCATGACATGCCAACATCCTCTCCTCGGAGGGAGGATTTGCAATGTTCCACTCCGTTCTCTTTGAATTTCTGCATCCACAAAATTTCATTACTTCGTTGTGCTGAAACCCCAAGATGGCGGAAATTCAGAAGGCACAACTTGCATCATCCGACAAAAAGAAGCAGTCTCCATCCGAGCGTGCAGCAATTCTCATGTTTCTTGCGACTACTTTCGTCGCCCTTTGGATTATGGGTGGTGTAACTGGATACATCACCACTCCGGCAACTGTGGGAGATAGTCCCATCCTAGGCCTTTGTTGCGTTATTTGGACATGGCAGGTTATGTTGGCTGGCTTTGCCCTCGGCACCTTGCCCAACAGACCACCCAATCTCGAGGGATTCCACTACTACTGCGGGGCTCTAGTCAGTGGCATGCTGGCACTGATTTATGGTACGGTCTGTGCAGACATCGGCAACGCGGCTTGCGTTGGGTTCTGGGTGACGACAGGTTCAATCGTTGGAGTTGCGCTGGAGGTCAAGTTCAAATGTTTCGCAGCGATACGCATGAAGCTGGATAAATGGATCGAGAGCACAGAACGGGAGCAGAGAAGCTGAAGAGTCGGCAAGTGTGGATATACTGGGCGGTCAACAACTGGTTGCCATCGAGTTTCTTCGAAGTCCACTCGGAAGGGCGGTTGAAACTCCAATGTCCGCAACACGAGTCGAGGTACATAGTCGTTGCCAGTTCTATCCGAATTCTTCTGAAGCTTCCTGCCCTCGTATTTGAGCCGCGGACACAAGTCTCGTTTGATAGTTCGAAGAAAGCCTTTAAGGTTCGACAGCCAATGGCGGATCCTTCGTGTCAGATCAATCCGCATAGTTGAGCTGTTCCTGCATAGCCCACATAGAGTATAGCTTCGTTGGGCTCTCTCCTGCTGAGAAGTCATAGTCTGGCACCGGTGCGCCGTAGCTTGCCTGTGTGATGACTGGCTCGAGACTTGGCTTGGTCTCTTCTTTCCGGACCGGATCTGGGATCAGAAGATTTTCGGCATAGCCAACAGCCAACCCTTTTGGTTTTGTGGCTGCCTGCAGCTGATGTACAAGCGCGTCTGATGCTGCTTTCGCAATCTGAGATGCAGAAGTGTGCGTGCTGGAGTTTGCAACAATGAAGAAGGGCCCTCGTGGTTCCTTGAGAGGCTTTCCATTCGCAGTGCCGTTGATGTTTGTAATTCTTGTCAACAAGTGCGGAACTATGACCTTACTTGCTGCGTGTAAGAATGTCACACTTTGCCGCCACGACTTCTCCATCACGCCCTCTTCAACTTCAAAAATGTCCAGATCGTCGACTTCGTCAGCGTACTCTGGGCAACAGAGAACACCTTGGATTCCAGCTCCGAATCTAGTGGCCTCGCTGCGGATCGCCTCGACATCTGTTGTACTCCAGCTCTCCTTGAGCTGTGTCTCCACACTGATCTCTCGGCGAAGTTTGCCGATGAGAGCGTACGTATCCATCTTCAATTGTTTCACTTCCGCCTCTTGCTCTCGCCTCGCAGCAAACACAATGCCAGTAAAGGGTTGTCTCATAAGCAATGTCTCGAGGTGCTGCAGGATCGACGGATGTAGCCCACTCGCGACCAATACAAGCAGTATACCAGGTGGCCCGGACGACGGCACAGGCTCTGCAGCGATCGAGGATGTCGAAGGGGGTTTCGCTTGAGCTTCTGCAAGAGCACTGGTCTTGCGGTCTTGCTCGGTGGGCTTTCGAGGTATCGACATGTACGAAGGTGTGTAGCTCGTGCGGCTCACAGGCCTGCTGCCATTAGTAGTCGCCGTTCCCAATCGATAGCTTGATCCGCGCTCAGATTGATCAGATGAGGAGGTGCTGCCCGTCATGGTGCCGTCGCTGAGGCGTGTTCGATGGTGATCCATTCTGTTGTATCGAAACCCGTGCGTGGTAGGACTCTGTTTGCTCGCGCTCCTAAAGTTCAGTGAGGTGGAAGGGAGAAAGAAGCTACAGGCAGTCGTCTCGGTGAAAGAGATGAAACAGGAGTGAATACGAAGAGAGGACAGGACGAGCACGCGTGCCTGGATTTGGAGACGTGTGCTCAGTGTGGATACTCTACCATGCTGGAATGGCTCGGATGCCGGAACCGACGGGCAAGGGTGGCGAGCGGTGGTACTGATTCAAAGCATCTTTCATGCTCTGCGTCGGCATGAAACACGACCAAACTGCGTTTGAACATTGTCGTAAAGTCGCAGAGACAGAGGGACAAGTCGGGGAAGACGTGACGAGAGCGCGCCCGCCGTCGTTGTGCATGTGCCCATTGCCGCCAATCACACAACCCCGGACTCAGCTCCAGAAATGGTCCGAGAGCACTCGCTTTCCTTGTCTTTCCTTCCACCAACAAAATCTCAAATGGGACCATCGTTGGAGAATGACCATCAGCACCATGGCTGTACTTCAACACATACAGAGTGGTCCCGCACCACTGCGTCTCTGTCGCAAGCATGGGACTGCAAGACTTGGCCTAGCCAAATGTGGCCGACGTCCTCTGAGGCATCTCGCTCACGGTCCGAGACCTTGTGGACAAGGACAATCGCTCGCCTTGACGGATTTGGAAGGCCGTCTCCTCAGTACGGTCTGCCAGCGGTGATCGTCGTTGCGAATCTTTCAACACTATTGCATGAGATTGCACCTACTTGCGCATGTGTTTAATGGCACTGCCCAAGTTCTATGCCTTCCTCCGATCTAACTAATGAGCTAAGCAGTTGCCACTTCTGCTCTCCCCATTGTCCGCATGTGCCGAAAGCCAGGATTGCGCGTATGAGATACATTGAGTACACCTTGACTTACAGAAGAAAGCGAATGAGCTCTGAGAGCAGAGGATGCCCCAAGACACGACAAGTGCTAGGCATACTGGGCAAACTGGGGATTGTCGAATGCCAAAAGAAACATTGAGAGATGCGAAACAACACGCTGCGGAGTATCTGCTAGGATTTTGTTGGTTGGCATGCTCATCAAGATTTGGAAAACTGATTCTGGCAAACGCCATTGATTAGTGACCTCCAAGCTTTGAAGAATTGAATATACCAACAGACTGTCTCGAAGCCCATCGCCAATAGTGAAAGTCCGGCTGCCGGCTGAATCCAATCTGGACTTCATCAAAACCCTCCATGCCTGGTCAAGCTTTTTCAGCACTTGTTACAGAACCTTGCCCAAGGGGCAAGCCAGCCTAGTGCTCGTTCCCAACAAGGCGGAACTACCACAACTGGTCAGCACAGCGCGGAACAAGAGGTCTTCCCTGCAAGGTACCAATTCAATAAATGTCTCTGTCAGCAGCACGACCGCTAGCCAGCTCCTCGTGTTCATCTCGGCTGCGCGCCATGTGTCTCATTACCGCCGATCTCGACAATGTTTCAAGCAATCTACAACGTCCACCTCAAGGACCGCCTCCGTGGTAAACGGCTCAAATCGCGTTTCGAAACGCATCGCATCAGCAATCCATACTTCACAATCGCTGCCAAGCAACGCGCGGACCAAATGATTGGGATCACGAACCTCTTTATTCTCGCCACTGCGGCTCTGGCGACTATCATACCACGCGAAACTTCGGCTCTGGCACAAATACATCTTTCCATCGATGAGATAAATTCTGGTCTGGCGACGATCAGCAACGATATCAAGAACTTCAATGCCACAGCAATACTCTCCGACCTTGAAAGCATCAGCTCTACAATCCTCCAAGCAGGCCGTGATGTCGCGGGCCTCAATGGGACAGTCTCTGAGAGCGAGGCACTGGTTGTGACCTACTATGTGAGAAATGCAATGCAGCCTGCGGTCGATGAGACGATATTGGATCTGAGAAAAGCCAAGCAAAAATTGAATCGAGCGGGCGTACTGGAGAACGTGGCCGAGAAATTGGAAGACTTGGGGAGTTTTGTGATTGTTCTGGGGGCGGCGTTATTAAGCAAGACACCGGAAAGCAAAAAAGCGGATGCGCAAGAGGTGTTGGATGGGATTGTAACGACTTTCAGGGATGCCGTGAAGGCTTTGAGGTCGTAGAATTGGCAACAGCAACGGGAAATCTGGTAAAGAGATGGAATCCGGCGCACTGATGGAAATAATGAGATACCCAACTTTGTCCTTTACAAAAATTGAGGCTACGGCTGTGTTATGAACATGTGTAGAGCGCTCCAAACGTTATGGTCGACGAGTTGAAAATGTTACGACCTCTGATCAAACGCGTCGATATCGGTCTCCGTAAACAGCCTCTCAATATGCGCGGCCAACATCCTTCTCTCACCCCTCGTCCCTCCTTTGTTAATGATGACTTGACAAATCTTCACTTTGGTCTGAGAATTGACCTGCCCCCAGTCTATGGATTCTTCTTCAGAATCACCACCATCTTCGCCGGAGCCTTGGGAGAGAGGGGCATTCAGGTCAAAAGCACTGATGGGATGGCTTCTCGAGCCGGTATTAACGATCGAAAGTCGTAGCTGTGTCACACCCTTGAGAGATGATGAGACACAATGTAGGAACTGCAGGTTCCGCAAATGCGGTGGATGGACGTAGCATTCGAAATGTACTGTCTTGATCGCCCTCGCTTGATGAGTGTACAGAATCTTGGTTGCCCAATGTTCAACCTCGAAGGGGCCGAAATCGAAGAAATCGAAGACGAAATTCTGAAAGGGGATTATTGCAGCTTCGTGGTAAATTTGCCGACAAGCGAATAGTAAATTCAGGTCCAGTTCAGAAGAAGCGTGGCGTCGTTTTAGTCCTTCAGGCGGCGACCCGAACTCTTCTGCGAGTTTCATGTGATGTTCTTCGCAAAGACCACAGTTATTCGGATGGCCAAACCTGCGCATATGCGGATCATCGAATCCAAAACGGCAAGGAAGAGGTAGCCCGGTATACCTCTGCGCCGTAAAGTCTGAAAGATGGTCCACACAGCGATCGTGGGCGAAGCGATAAATCTCCTTTGGGCGGTTCGGACCCGAGCTCTCATCCTGCTCACGGCTTTTCTCATACTCGCTGACCCAAGTATCCGGCAACCGGCAGACAGCGTACGAATAAGCTTTGTAGAATCCAAAATGTGGACGGGGCCGGCTATGGCGCTTGCACTCTTGTGTGCGAATGTGAATCACACCAGAGCCGATGACAAGCCCGTAGATCTGGAGTCGCAGCTCAGCAGGTAGTCGAAACAGTGCACAATCTGTCTGCGGATGCGCTTGAGCAGTGTTGATGGGCACTCCAGAGCCACGCGCTGGTGTGGCTCGCTCTCGTCGAACACCTTCTTGATAAAAATCACGTAAGACATCATCGTAGCCTACATCTTCTAAGTATTCTTCATCTTCCGATACACTGCCATACTCAAACTTCCATCGTATGAGAGTCTCTTGTGCAGTAGCAAAGTCGGTACGAATAGAACGTGTTCCTCGAGATCCGGAGGGGACTTGTACTAAAAGCACAGTGTCATCGTGCTTCGAGCGCTCGTCCATGATCACAAATGCAGACGTCGAAAAATGTGAGGCTGATGTTCCTCGAATGCCACAAAGCATTTCCCAGCACTGCACGTCTGTCATGCCGATGAAAGGATAATCAGGTGGAGATCGCAATGCCCCAGATTCTGAAGGCCCATTATAGGCTTGGTCCACCGAATCTACAAAGACGAAAGTAGGTCGTTCCTGCGCTTCATGGTGTACAAGGATACGATGTATGATCTGTTCTCGGTGTCAGAATTTCTCGTGTCTCGATCGGGGTTTCGTACCTCAATGGGTATATCCGTAGTGCAGCAAATGGGAAAAAGCCAGGCTGCATCTTCGCCGGAAGGTGATGACATTTTGACTAGACAAACGCGAACGTGTAAGAGAAATGCAGTTGCTCATCTGTCCACAAGATACCAGGTCAAGAAGGCGAGGCGCAATGCTTCGCCTACGACCAGGAGATGTGCCGTTTGTACCAAGGTGGCTGCAGGAACAAAAGCAGGAAATCACGGGACGCTGGTGAGCATGCGGATTCTTCGCCGGGAAAAACCTCCCGAAGGTCAAGATCAAGACTTGTTGGAGTGAATTAGAGACCCCGCATATTCGATGTGCACGCATGGAGCTGACATGTTGTCGGAGGACGAGATGCAAGAAGTCGACGATAGCAACAAACCTGGAAAGCGGCGGCTGGTGCCAAGAGAGATTACATAAGCACTCTCCTCGCGGCTAGTTACCCCGTCGTCTTCTCCAGTTCTTTCTACGCGTCCTCAACGTCGTTGACAACAACACTGATATTCGACACTTATCATGCATCTCCTCACATGCAGCTCGACAGCAGATACGAAACAGGCCGACCGTCTGAATCAGCTGCTCGAAGCATGTTCAGCCGAGTAATTGGTACCGGGAAAGTGCTACAAAGAGGAGTGATGCAGACCTGCAGTGCATCACGTCTCACGTTTGGACTACCAGTCACATAGATGGCAGAAGCGCCAGTCACTCCAGTGGTCAGGCTCTGCGCGTGGCTTGAACCAGGCATATGCCTTGCGTTGCCCTTGGGCAGGCCTCGAATCCCGCGGCACCAACGCGCGATGAAGTATGTCCTTGATGACAGCCCATTGGGTCTAAGAGCACCACGGTATCAATATCTTGCCTTTTGAGGCAACACTGTACTCGCACCGCGGAACCCGTGCTTGACTCGGCCCACTTGCCCCGAAAGTTGTGGCGTGCAGCTTCACATAGCTGGAGGGGCACCCGAGGTCGGATGCATCCACGTGGTGGAGAAGGTGTAATCGACCGTGTCGTAGCTACTGACAGGTACAAGACAGCCCAAGAGCAGATCTACTTATAAGGAGTGGTAAGGCTGGACTTGCACTGTCTGATATTACATCGTGAGTATCGCCCAGAACCGACAGGCATACCGAACACCGTTGCTGCGTACAATATACCTTGGCAAAGATGCCTCATCTACAAGAGCCCGGCATGCAAGTGCCTGAACATCCGCAATGTGATCCACAAAAGATCCGTATCATTCACGTGGGTATGGGTGCCAGTGGCATGCTCTGTGCTGTGAAAGCTCGCCGTATGCTATCGAATTTCGAACTCGTCTGCTACGAGAAGAATGCCGAGGTCGGTGGCACTTGGTGGGAGAATCGATATCCAGGTGAGATGCAATGATGCACTCCATAGGCTCACAATACTGATTATCTGAGTAGGATGTGCCTGCGACATTCCTGCAGTAAGCTCCCATACTACCAGTGTCGAACCTCGTTGAGCTGACTTTGCCAACAGCACACGTATACCTTCCCATTCGAGGTACGATGAAATTCGTCTGGCGCAACGTTGTCTTTTGGCTGATCTCTAATCTTTGTCTGTAGCCAAATCCCAACTGGACTTCGTATTATGCATACGCACCAGAGTAGGTTCTCCGGGCCTGTCAGCCTATCGGGTTGATCGTTGACGAAAGCAGGATCCAGGAGTACTTCAAAAGTTTCTACGACAAGAACAACCTACAAGAGTATGTCAAGACCGATACAGAAGTGATCAGCGCGGAATGGAACGATCTTCAAGGCTTGTGGAAGGTCGAGTTGAAAAACCGTGTCGATGGCAGCACCTTCTATGATACCTGCCATGTCCTTCACAATGGCTCTGGCGTGCTCACTAAGTGGAAGTGGCCAGCCATTGAAGGGCTGCACGACTTCCAAGGCAAGCTTGCTCATTCGGCTGCTTGGCCTAAAGATCTGGACTGGGCTGGTAAACGCGTCGCAGTAATCGGCACTGGGTCCAGTTCGATCCAAATTGTCCCTCATGTCGCAGCAACGGCTTCGAAGCTGTCGATCTTCATGCGTAATGTCACATATATCGCGCCTCAGTTTGGTGCCAGTATAGACAACAAAGAAGCTGATCCAGATTCCATGGACCCGGCAAATGCTGCAGCCGGCAAGCACTACTATACCGAGAAGGAGAAGCAACGTTTCCGCGATGATCCGGCGTACTTGCAAGATTATCGAACGCGAATGGAGAAGTCGATCGTGGGAGGGTGGGACATGTTCTATCGAGGCAGTGAGCTGAATGTCAAGTTTAAGGAGTATGTGCAGCACACCATGCGAGAGCGACTGAACGGACGAGAAGATCTTCAGCAGAAGCTTATTCCTTCATGGAGCCCCGGTTGCCGTCGATTGACTCCTGGAGAAGGATACCTCGAGGCGCTGACCCGGGAGAATGTCGATGTGATCTGGGGTGAGATTGCAAAGATCACCCCGTCTGGCCTGGTCACCGCTGCAGGACAGGAGGTCGAAGTTGACGTTCTCATCTGCGCCACTGGCTTCGATGTCCAATACCTACCACATTTCAAGATCACTGGCCTTAACGGTCAAGTCATGCAAGACCAATCAGGCCCAAACATCTATGCCTCGATCGCACATCCCGGCTTTCCCAACTACTTCGTCACGAACGGCCCACGGGGCAATTGGGCCCAAGGATGTGCTCTTCCGTCGCACGAGGTCCAAATCGAATACATGCTTCAATGCTGCCAAAAGCTCCAACAAGACCAAGTCAAATCCATGCACCCGAAGCAACGCATCACAGACCAACTGAACGCCTACGAAGACGCCTGGCATGCGAAGCATTCCATCTGGGCGGAAGACTGCAAGAGTTGGTACAAGGACAATACCAAGGACGGCAGAGTCTATGTGTGGCCGGGAAGTATGTTGCACCATCTGAAGTTCATGAAGCGACCCAGGTTCGAGCATTTTGAGATGGAGTACAAGGACCCGGATAACGTATTCGCGTTCTTAGGAGATGGAAGGACGATTGGACAGGTCAAGTATGGGCCTGATGCGCCTGTGCCGTACATTCGAGATCGGGAGGAAGTTGCGTGGGAGATTGAGTGATGAAGGGTCAAGAACAAATCGTACCAGCGGAAACGTCGAGCAGCCGACGTGACGGTGGCGGTAGTTTTGGGACCTGCGGATGCTCTCGCCAAATAGGAACATTCATATCACAACGCGAGGCTCCAGACACAGTTCGGTTGGGGCGAGTGTTGCCCTGCCGCCTTAAACGGGGTCGCTCCATCGAGTCGTGCGGAACTTGGAAACCGAGAGAACGAGATGGTTTGAATGGCGTGGGTGGCGTGGCGAAGGTATATGCTAAGTATTCTGTTGGGCCGAACTGCCGAAAGGCTCTGGAGTGGTGAGGTGACACAGCGGCTGATATGCAGGACATCAGCTGGAGTCAAGCTATACTTCATGTCACCCTTATGCATAAGAGCGCGCTATCGGCTCCTCTGAGCGATCTTCAAGCTGCACATTCTTGACAAGACAGACATGCCTCTCTGGATTAACGCAGGGCGGTGGGCCCTTCGGCGTTACAGTTGATGATCAGACAGGTAGCGAGACCCTGACCCAATGATGAAGATGATACTCCCGCAATGCACCGATCACAAGCAGAGCAAGATCAGCGAATGTTGGGGTTGTAGCACGTGTTGGATCATCTTCTCTGCAGTCTCTCGTCGCAGATCTGATTGAGCACAATGAATGCGAATGTTCCAATGGCCGGTCCAACAAGGGAAACGAATGCCTCAGGTTGAGCTTGGGCTTGGCAAGTCTGCGGTGCCATCGAGTTCTCTTCTGCACTGCACTTTCTACAACGGGCATACGATCATCTTGCCAACAACGCATCACCCGCCACGACCATCGCTACAGCCACATCAAGCTGCATGAGCGGGTTCGCGGCAACCTGTGTGCCAATACAGGAACATCGCATACGTCCGAACCAGAGCAATTCGACAGCGTGGCTCCATTTGGGGCGGCCCTTGAACTGGACATCGAATCGTAGCCCAGCACGTGCTTTGCATCAAGCTAGAACTATTGTGGATGATACACATCTACCCAATACTGCAATCCGCGGGCCGCCTGCACGGGCATGACGCGACAGAACCAAGGAGCAGAATGAGATCAGCAAGATGCAGCTCAGATCCGAATCCGAGACACAGATTGCCGACAACGACCTAAGGTGCCACGAAGCTGGGACCGTCAGCCACATGGGATATTCCCCGCTGTGCACTTCATGTCTTCTGCTTGGTCGTCGAACGAACGGCGATCAATGTTGTCGTCGCTGGTCTCAAGCTGGACTCCAAGACAGCAGTAACCTGAGAGAACCCGATTGCTGGCACTGTGACTGACCTGCAGATCAAAATGTCAACTCGCAACAACTCGCTCAAATCGGTGCGTGAAGGGCGGACTGCAGTCCGGCGCTGCCCTGGCCTCCGACTGGACTATTCTGCTCGCATGGTCTGCTTTGAGTAAGAATCGCGCGCCTCAAGGCTTGTTCGAAGTCATTGACCTCACAAGCGAATGCTGATCACTTCCCGCTCTAACGCTAACACCAAGTGGGAAAGCACACTTAGTGCCCCAGCGACTGCGGACCTCCGTGTCAACACTCTCCCGGCAGCCCAACAGTACTCTGACACGCTCTCACCGACGCCGGCCCAAAGCTGCAGCTGAGCCCACATTCTGCACCACTTTAGGGCCGGTGCACCTTGCGTCAAGAATGTTTGCCGGCCATCCGATGTTGCCGCACAGGGCGCACTGGTGATCACAATGACAACGTTAGCGATTGCATGCGATCTCGTTTGCAGTTCAGGAGCACGTGCAATTTTCTCCGAGCATACTGGCTCTTCCTTGTACCACACCCGGCCTTCACTGGAACCTTCAGGCGTGTATGTCGCAAGGCGGTGATGGGAACGATGATTTGTGTTGAGTGTGAGTGTTCGGATGCATAGTACAAACTATCACTCGTCGACAGCCCATGATCGCCATATCACTCGCCTAATCACAAGAAATACCGGATTAGGATGCCACAAAATGACCAAGAATCATCTGAGATGCCACCTCGCTGGCTACGCCACACATTCACATGCACAGATCTGCATAGCTGCTGTGCTGTGCGGCTGGTTGTGCAAGCCAACGCTTGGCGGAATAGTCTACAATGCCGCCGAGTGTCAACGTTCATTCGCCCCGGACATCCCCCGAAGTACTCGCCGACTCACGGGTAGCACTGCTATGCGGTATCTGCGCTACGCCTCTGACCTATGCCGTGAGATTTGCTCTCAGCCGGCGACGCCGCATACCCACATGACGGCGCCTCTGATCGACAAGTCAACGCTTACTGCAGTTAAAGCTACGAGTTAAACTCCCAGATCTTTACCAATGCCGGACAACGCAGTATTGGGCCTTGTTGGAATGACTTCCGACAGCGCAAAAAGATACTGTTGTTGCCAGCACGGAGTTGCAACAACGGCAACGATGTGGGAACGATCGACAATGTGTTGAGATCTACTAGCACTGCACGTATGACCGTTGTGAGGTCTTCACAAGTCATCGAACGGATATATAAACACTGATCTGGACCTCGTTCTGGCTCGACCATCACACAACGACTATCACTTCACAACAAAAGTTTTCACTTCTCTTCACTTCAATAACCAAGACCTGAAAACTCCACCAAAATGAAGTTCTCTCTCTTCGCTCTCCCAGCCCTCTCTGTCCTGGCTTGGGCAGCCCCTACCTCTGTGGAAAACGCTGCCGTCGAGAAGCGCCAGACCCAAGGCACTCTCGAGCAGTGGCTCGTCACTTTGAACGAGGAGCTGAAGCCATTCACCTCCCACATGAGTACGCCTCCTCCACTCCACATCCTACCGAGATCCCAGGCTAATCTCTCCACAGCCCAAGTCACCGCTGCACTCCCAGAGGATGCCTCTGTTGAGGACAAGGAGGCCGCTGCCGATTCGATCATGGGTGACATCGCTGGTATCCGCCAGGCATTCCGCGAGACCACTGCCAAGGTCAACGCTGTCCGCGCCCAGAAGCAGCAGAAGCGTCAGACACTTGCCGACCTTCCAGACGTCCTCGGCCAACTCGACGGTCGTCCAATCGTCCTCGCCAACCTCCTGCTTCCTATCCTCCAGCAGCTGAACCCAGCTCTCGGCTCTGTCCTCAACACTCTCTCCTTGAGTACGTTTACTACACCTGACTCGTCAGACAATGCATGTGCTAACCACCCATCAGCTGCTGTTTACGTCGCTCTCCAGCCATTCCTCACCACTGAGCTCCCAGCCCTCGTTGTCGGGCTCAGCGGCCTTGTTGGCGGTCTTTTGGTAGCTCTTGCCCCTCTGCTCGCTGCTCTGGGCGGTATCCTGGCACCAATCGTCGCCGCTCTCTTGTAAATAGTGTGCGAGAAATAACGCTAGGATAATAATTGGGGATTATAAAACTGCGATCTTGGATGGACGCACTTCATGATACCAAAACCTTTGCTCCTCTTCTGAAATGACATTGAAGCAAGAGCTATGATAATTGGAACTTTTTGTATATATCCAACAGCAATAGAGCAACTTCACGTTACTTGCTTCCTCCTCCCACGTCGATCTTGAGCGCCGATTGTGGAAAGACCAATGCTGACTCAACAAGGTAGGTGCGACAATGTTCAGGTCTCAGGACGTTCTGTGAACTTGCAGGCGTCGTTTGCACCTTTCACTAGATCTTTCGAGGCGACCGGCCTAGAGCTACGATCATCAGCAACACCCGAACAGCTCTAGGAGAATTACGTCGCACGGCACAAAACAAAACAGCAAGTGCTTAGCCCAAGTCACCCCTTCTCACGAACCGACAAACCAACACAAGAACTGCAGCACCGCTCAACAAGAAAAAATTCATGACTTCTACCTCGAACGTCGTAATTTCAAGAATAATTGGACGAACTACCTTGACTTTACACCGCGCATCCTTTATCGAAGATCTCGGCACTTATTTCTGGAGCCAATATATGACGTGCCGATCCTGACTCGTGGTATACATGAGAGATCGACATTCATGCATATGTGCACGACTTCACTCCTGATATCTTCCACATCTGATGGCTCCGAAAGCCTTCCATGATCAGAGAAACACTAAACATGGCCAAGAAAGGCGAGTCAACCAACTCAGCTCCAAAAAACGAAGAGTGCCTTCATGTCTATGATATCTACACGTCTTAAATTACATCGTGTCTTTGAAAGAGAGAACAAATCGCTCAGGTCAAGCACCTGAATGTAATCAAAACAATCTCAAGACGACTCGAAAAGATCGAGCAAGCCAGATTTTGACCATCTGCACACCTCAAACCTCTCAACCGTTTCAATCCATCGAGGTGGACTTCAAGATGAAGCGCATGGACTTCTCCCAACACGCTTTCAGCATATTTCCAAAAAACTAAACTCCGAAGAACCTCAACTTCTTCACCTGCAGTGCATTGCAAGCAATCCGACCGCCCAGAGAGACGAATGCCAAAGCCAGAGATTTGAACAAATCTAACAAAACATGTAAGACATCTCCAAAAAAGCGAGTAGACCAGCTTCCCGCAATTTCTACCTCCAGTACCTCTTAACCCCTCGGAAAAGCAGAAAGAAGATCCACGTCGAGGAGTCTAGCGAAAATCACCGGACGATTCGGGCACTCTCGAAGCAATCAATTAAACCCGATCCCCACCATCTTCGCCTCTACTGCCTCTCCACACCCTTCCAATACGGAGAGACAGGCATCACAACAAGTGAAATAGTCATTTCAAACAGTACATCCCAATTCTCTCAGCAGTGAAACACTCCCGTTCATCAGCTTCTGCATCCCCGATGCCTTCCAAGCCTTCATTTCTCCGGAAAAACATGCATCATGCCATCGGTCATAGTCGAAATTGAACAATATCTTCTTACACTCTCCCGGCACCGCATCACTCCAGATCTTGAGCTCCTTCACCTTTCATGCCTTCGAGACCCTTAGTACACCAGAGAAACAAGCACCAAACCATCGGACATGGTCAAAAAAGAGTCAACGAGGAAACAAGTATTGTACGAATTTTCATTTTCATTTTCACTATGTCCCCGCGGGACATCATCTCTGCATATTCATACGCAGCTAAACTAGCGGCAGCGGACGTTTCTACTGCCAGACCGAACTAAGCGCCAAAAGGCGAGCTATCCTCGCCACCCTTACCCTTGGCAAGGATGATCACCAGCAAGAGGACCAGAATGCAAACAGCCCAGAAGATCATCCCAAGAGGGAAGAAGACGATGAGCGCGTTGCGCTTCTCCGAAGGGCAAGCCTCCTTGAAACGACCACCAGAGCGCTTGGCGATGAGGCGGTCGAAGAAGCCGAGGCCGAAGAGGAGGGTGAAAGGCGGGAAAGCGGCGCAGCCAAAGAGGAAGCGCTTGGAGATGCGCTTTTGTTCGAGACGATCATCGCGCTGCATCTCGGTCTCGGGCTTGAGAAGCATTGGGTAGGTCGAGGAGGACGACCAGGGAGTGCTACCTCCGCCGCCGGCGACCGGATCAGGCGGACCCTGCTGGCGAGGAAACATGGTCCAACCAGCGGAGCGCGCCGCGAGCTGGGCATCAGACATACGCTTGGTCTTGACGAGATGCAGGTCGCGGGGCTCGTACTGACTGCCAATAGCAGCGCGTTGAGAGCGCTTGGACTTGCTGCTCCTCACTGGACCGAGCTCGATGTCGATGATATTGGGCTTCTTGCCGATTGGAGACTTGACATGAATGGCGCGGTGAGTCGGATCTTGGTCGAACGGAGACCAGAGATTGGTGGCAGGACCGCGAGTGTTGAGAGGCGACTCCTGATTGACTGTCATGAAGGTGCCAGTGCTCTCATTGAAGGCCATGTTGGTGTATGGCGATGGAGTACTGGGAGAGGCCAGCAGTCCACGAGTATCAGAGCCGGAATTGAAGGCCTCCTCGTGGCGACCTAGGGCAACAGCACGACTGAAGTTGACCCATGGCTGATATTGAGGCCGAACAAATGTCTTCGCTTTCTGCAGCTTAGCTTGAGCGCTCGCTTTGATGGTGGTCATCGACTCTGAAGCCTTCATCATGAGTGGGCGAGAGTCCGATGGCAACAGAGTACGCAGACGGTCGAGCTCCGCGAGCTCAGCTCTTCGCTGAGTTCCGTCAATCTTGGGTGAGCCAGTGTACACCGAGTTGACCTGCTCATCTGCGATCTTAGACTCCAGAGCGCGGATGCGCCTCTCGACGATACAGCGTACTTTATTGTCGATGTCCTCGTAGGCTGCTACCTTATCCTTCGACTCGCCGAGAAGTCTGACAGCTTTGGGTGCAGGAATCTCCTCAGGTTCGTCTACGACTTCCGATACTGGTGTCTGAGGTGGAGCTGGCGGAAGGCTGAATCTCTGCTCGCTGCCGTCGTCACTGATGTCGGCATAGCTCTCGACAGTCACGGCACTGAGACGAGAATTGCGATTGAGTTCCATCTGAGAGACGCCGTACTCTGTGACCCACTCGCTAGCTCCATCATCGGGATAGTAGCTGGAGCTCCGTGGCATGACCCGGCCAAGATCTCCAGCATCGCTATTGTTGTCCTGAACCTCAAGATCAGGGAAACGAAAGCCGGCATCGCCCAAGCGAAGCTCCGTGTCGCCGTGCATCCCAAGCTCTGGGATGATTGGGGATTCGTAGTCATCTGGCGGGAAGTTCTCCTTGTTGTCATGGGGATATTGAACCAGCCTGACCGAAGGTGGCCTGTCTGAGTCTGTCTCTTCGTAGACCTCGAATGGCTGCGGTCGGCCACGGACGTGAATGTGGGCTGGATCCCTGCAGGTCGTTGGGCGACACGGGAAAAGATCCTCAACACGTGGTGCGACATTTTCCTTGTGTGGAGTGATGTTCAGCAAATTGCTAGTGTTCCCATAGCTCTGCTCCGAAGTTGGCACACTACTGTAGCCGCTGCGCCAGTTGCCACCCGGGACATAGTTTGCGACACCTCTGTATACGGGAAGAGGTGCCGAAAGAAGAGGTTGTGGGCGAGATCGGTTGCTGATGGAGGTACTTGGTGTCTCGCTGCCCACATCTGGAGTCTGTAGTGGAGACAGAAGACCTTGACGGCGCTCGTAGCTCGAGTGACTGACAATGCCGCCACGACCATATTCAATGGACGGGCTGGTATCAGCGTCTCGCTCTTGACTGCGGTCCTCAGGCTGGGACAACGGCGCCCTGGTGTATTCGTAGTCTTCGAGTATGGCCTTGATCGTCGAATCTGTAGTTTGCTCGGACGTCCTGCTTGGAGAAATATCTCGTAAGTGTACTCTTTAAACGGGAACGGCGGGAATTGGTTACATACGCATGAGTTTCATCAGAGTCTGTGATGCCCAGACCCAGTGGCTGCATGCGTGCGGGAGGCGTCACGTCCTGACGACGGCCTTCCTTGAGAACGTGGTTGATGGTCATCAGGGTGCTGTGACTATCAGAGTCGCTGAGTGTCAGATCGAAAGGGTCAGAAAATGGTCTCTCTCCTTTGCGGGCTGCGCTGGCACCTAGCAAAGCTCTTGGAGGAGTAGTGACTTGGCCCTTGTCGTGGTCACTCATGTGCAGGATCTTACGACGAGCGTCAGTGGCATTATCGTACAGTACACGACGTGAGTGCTCGCTGGGTACGCCCGAGACACCCGAAGGAGGCTCGTCGTGAGTCTGATCAGGTTGCATGCTTGCGTCGGTGTCGTGGAAGTAGCTGTCCAGAAGCCCTTCGATCTCGGCTGGCGTCTCGAGGCTGCGTGCTCCGAGAATGAGCGACGCGTGCGGGTTCAACACGTCAAAACTCGCTCCTCTATACAAGACGGTAGCTGGCGTAGAGGGCGGAGTTGCTGTATCCAAGTGACCTGCAAGATCAGCGCGGGGCTTGCTTCAGGACTCGACGTGCTCGACTTACCAAACGTGCCTTGCCAATTGTAGTGAGATGGCGGCAGGGGCCAGTCAATTCTTGACAGCGAGGTCGCTGAGGTCGGATGTTCTTCTCTTGTATTCTGCGAGTCCTCCGCAAGTGCCTCCGAGATGTTCCCAGTGCCCGTATCAAACCTGACGGACTTCACCTTCTTCAAATCCTCCTCCACCACAGCAGGTCCCACGTCCTCAATCTCAAATACAGCTGCGTAAACTTCCCACAATTCTCCTGATCCACCAGAGCCGCTGCTGCCGCCGCCTGTTTGGCGGGGAAGACGCTTTGCACGCTTCAACGAGTCAAACTTACGTTTCGTCCGAATGGGTTCACCGAAGTCACTCCTGTCTTCCTCCTCGTGCTCGACGCGTGAGCAACCTTGATGAAGAGGTGTCTGGAAAGGCGAAGATTGCAATGTGTCGACAGTGGAAGACAAAGAAGGAGAGGCGGTGTAAGTCCTCGGACGCGGTGTGAGAGGTCGGTGGTGGGAGGAAGCGGGCGAGAAGTCACGAAGTGAAGCGGACGCCGGCGACCGTGGCAAAATCAAGCTTGGCGTCCACGGATCATCAAAACAGCATGCTGCAGGGTCCGTGTATCGTGCATGAGCCGTTGCAAGATTCACAGCAGATGGCTTCCTTCGAATGCGCCGAGACTCGAGCTCTGGTGAAGCTGCGAGTACTGGTGACTGCTGAAATTTGTGAAACTCGTGCAATGTCAACTGCGGGCTGTCCAGACGATCCAGCATGTGAAAGGACTCCGCGCTTTCGCTCGGGCCCTGCTGCTGAAGGACAGGTGAAGTGCTGCCAGCTGCAGACAGGGATCCATCTCGAAGCGGCCGATTTGTTGAAGCCATCGTAATGTGGCTTGCTTGTGCAGGTTGCAAATACTAACGACGCGTTTCCCAGTGAATGAACCAGCACTCTGGAAACCGGCGAAGTGCTGAAGAAAGCTCGCGAGCGCGCCAATGTATCCAAGCGGCAAAGGCGATGGAGTTACAATCCTAGCTGAGACCAGTGCTCGCTTCCGCCCAGTACCAGGCCTTCTTGAACGAGCGTTGTGAAGCGAATGTGAAGTCTGAGTCTTTCCCGGCTCCCGTCTAGAAGTTCGTGAACTGCCGAGAATATGTCTACAACCACATCAGCTTCAGTGCTTCTGACAAGCGTGAGCAGCCACTTACTGAATATCCGGCGTCTAGCGATAAGATGTCAAAATATGCGCTGTTCCTGTCACAAGATCGGCGAATAGATCGCCCTGCCAGGCGTGCCAGCAGCCTGAAAAGATGATGCCGCGACAGCTGTCGTGAGACCGGACACTCCACGTCGTGAGAAGTGAAGCGTTGCACACAACCAGCTGAGCATCTTTGCGAAAGCGAGCGACGGGGGCAGAAGCAAACAACAACGCAGCGACAAGAAGAAGACCTCGCACCAAACTCTCAGCAAGCACGACGCGTTAGACTAAAGTAGTAGTCTCTCGTGTCAAAGAAAGGGCCAGCCGCTAGAAAGACAGAGACTGAGACATCGCGACCGAACTTACTGACAGAAAGCGCGCCATGTGGTCAAGTAGCAGCAGCCACGGCACCAAGTCCGTCCGTCCAAAAAAGTCATCCCTCCATCATGCCCACAGAAGGTGCAGTCCGCGCCATCTCCGGCCCGTCCACACAGCAGCAGACGCAGACGCAGACGCACGCAAGATCCCGAGCCAAGTAATCAGCTTCGGCGGCCCAAAGAGTGCACAGAATGGCGTGAACCAGGTCGGGCAGCGTGACGGTGTGAAGAAACAGAGCCAGTGGCACGCTTACAGTGAGGTCGAGAGGACGAAAAGTGAAATTTGATGTGATGATTGGACAAAAGGCATCAGATCACGTGAAAGACAGAAACCAATCATTTCACAATTCTCCCTTCTCGTCGCAACACACCGTCTCACTTCTCCCGCTCACACTACGCACCATAGGGGAAAGCAACGTCAATAGCTTCCCACTCTCTCGGTGCACTTTCGCGGTCAGGCCGTACCTAGCGTGCCTGGCGTGCATGCCGTCGAGGCTATGCATGTCATCTCTGCAGCTGCACCTCTGCCGAACTCCCACGCCCTCACCAATCACGACCCAAACCTCACTCATCCTCCAAGGAACTAGTATCGTTCGCCAAACAACCAGAACAGGGCACACGAGGCCGCCAACTTGGTCATCCTCGTGTGAGATGCGGTGCTGGCGCTTACGATTTCCATTCACAGTAAGGAAGATTTTTCTTATTCTGTTCGGTCTTTGCCTAGGGTGGAAGAAACTAAAACGCGAACGCGCTATCCAAGACACCGGTGTCGAACATGACAGCCCTATCACGCTGCAATCCTGCTCAAACAGATGTCACATCGCCAGATACATCGTTCCAGAACTTCAAAAGACTTGCCAATTGTTCTCCACCATCTCGTATCGGCGGCGATCAGCCCACATGGTCTGTCCCAGCAGGTTGGTCAGTCGATCACGCACTACAGCATCAGTGCCGACAAGGGAGGAAGCAAACTCCTCCGCCAGCGTGATCCGTTTACATCATGCTCGAGGGCGCAGCCTGTGCGCTGTTCGTGATTGGTCCTGGATTTTCATAGCTGTCGAACAGCTTCGAGGAATTGACTCCTTTGACAATTCCATACGAGACACCAGCGGCAAGAGCTCCGATGAACAAGGTCTCTACCGCGCCAATTGCCGAGTCTTTGGCGCAGCAGCCTGTGATCTTGGCCTTGACGTATCCGAAGACAAGGAGGATGACAACTGTAATCCCGATAGAACTGAACAGCGCCTCGTTGATGTGCTTGGTGGCAAAGTAGGGTATCATCGGAAGTAGGCCGCCTGAAAATCATGACAGTGGTCAGCTACGGTAAAAGCGGAAGAAGCTGTTCTTAGCAGTCATGCTTACCAAACAGATACGAGACACCCATCACCAGGCCTTCAATCCACGCCACCTTCAACGTCGGCTTCTCCAATTTGAGCTCAAAGTCCATCATGAACTGCGGATAGTCAGCACAACCAATACCAGAATGGGACAGAAAGCTGATCAGCCCCGACAAGAAACAAACCTTCACCCAAGCCTCCTCATCCCTCTTCAAACTCTCCACAACCCCTCTCGAATCCTCCCTCGAAATACTATACTCCCCCAAAATATCATAAATCTCCTGTTCCTCTTCCCCGGGAGACTCTCTCACCTCCCTCCTCTCCCTCTTCTCTTCCACTTCGTAATGCTTTCGATCCGTCTTTGCAGCCAAGAACGCTCCGAGACCCATGGAAATCGATCCCGCGAAGAGTTCTGCCAGCCCGCCGAGGATGACGATCTTGGAGGAGCCGAGGGAGGAGAGACCGGCTGTGAGAGCGAAGGGCACTGTGAGGCCGTCTGCGAAGCCGATGATGCTGTCGCGGACGAAGATCCCGTTGCGGGCGTGGTGTTCGCTGTGTGTGGGTCCTGAGATGGGAGTGCTAGAGGAGTGAGTGCTTGGAGGACCGTGCATGGGAGTCGATGATGTGTCAGAGCTGGCTGGACTGGGACCTTTCTCGATGTCTGTATTGCGTGTTCTGGCCGGCAGAAAAGGGATGCGAATCTGCCTCAGGAGACCTGGGATCCTGGCGAGAGCCATTTCGATGAGCGCTCAGTCTGATTTGACACTGAGTCGTAGGTAGCTTCCGTTCGCAAATTTGAACGCTGGTATGCTGAGCACTGTCGCCGGTGCTTGTCGCCAATCCTCCTTTTACGTCCAATTCCTGCTTCCTGTCGCGCAGCATTGTACAAAGTACGGCAGAACTTGAGCGCAAACAAACAAGTTTCCGAGTTGGTATGGGTAATAGATGGCTTGAATTGTGCGACACACGATCCTCGAGACCAACCAGTTGCTGTCGTTGCAAGGTCAAATATCGAAACCTCTGGTGCAGGAGGGTCGAAGCCTTGCGCTTGATGAATGAATGGTTGGAAGCGCCACCAGCGCCACCAGTAGATAGACAGCTGTGACAGATTTCATGCCTTGTCTTCGAACATCGATTACCTTGGACTAATCGGCAGTCACTTCTATCTACGTGTCACCTCGCACTTACCTCGAGTGCAGTCTGCAGGAAGTCTCCGGGTAATCGCAGCTGTCAAATGAAGTCTCACGCGCACGGCAGCAACGACAGAGCAACATTGTGCTGTCCACGTTGCTTCACTTCCTGCACAAATGCAAGTAGCCGCGTTTTGACAGCGGGAAGGCGCATGAGGCGAGGCGAGCCATGCATGGAGCCTCGTGGTATGGCGAACAGAAACACGTGCGACTTGAACGACGAATAATTTCAGGTGGGAAGTAATCAACAGCAAACTCGTAGCACAATGGACAGCATTGGCATTACTTTCTGGTGTAGCTGCAATGAATACGGTAGCGTCCGAAATCCGTTTTGCTGCGACGAGCGACCCTTTCTTGCATTTCTCCTCATGCAGATGCTTTCACGGCCTTCTTCTTCATCTTCTGATCCTTCAATACTTTCCTCGCTAGCGTTCTCGCAGCCGCCATCTCCTCTGCCGTAAATGGCTCTGGATTCTTCGTTGTAACGTCGATCAAGGGCACACTGCCAATCCCATCTAATGTCGACATCTTCCCAGCTCCTTTCCCCTTCTTCTGCTTGCGCGACTCGCTCAAAATCTTGATCGCCATGGCTTCTTGCCTTGCAATCTTCCTCGCAACCTTGGATTCGGCTCCCTTCGTCACGGCACCTGTACTTTCGGCGGCCTTCTTTGCTTCGCGCTGATTCTCCATCCATTGTCGTCGTGCCTTGCGAACTCGCTTTGGTAGTAGTTTCACATCGAGGCCTTCCCAGATGCTGGGGTCCAGGGGCACCGGTATTTGTGGGTCCCATGTATACCGAACTTTGCCTTCATTATCGACGACCTGAACGCTTCCCGAGTGTGCCAGTCCCTCGTCGTGTGAAGTTGGAGGCCCGCCTGGTTGCTTTTGGTCATCAGCTTCTGACTTCTCCAACTCTGCCTTTGCCTTCTCTGCGTCCAGGCTTTCGTTCAATTTCTTGTAGTATTCCTCGAGTGAAAGGCCTGCCTTCGCGGCCTTGGCCTCTTGTTCTTTGTAGTGTGCAGAGAGTGTCCAGCCATCTACAGCGGTCGTTGTATGCATCAAAACCTTGTCTCCATGCTCTGCATGCACTGCCCGCAGTTGCTCTTGTTGTTCCTGATACTCCTCGATTGAAAGGCCTGCCTTATCTGCCTCTTCTGCTTCCGCTGCGAGCTCAGCTTCGTATCTTTTCACACCCTGTTCTTGTTGCCTGTAGTATTCCTCAAGCGAGATACCTTCTTTCCTCGCCTTCTTCTTGTCTTTGCGGTATTTCAGGTATGCCTCGCTAGTCATGTCCATCTCCCAGGCCTTCATCTCTACGTCTAGTAATCTCTGTTGTTCTTTTGCTGCTTTCTGAGCAGCCTTTGCCTCAGCCTTCTCGAGCCTGGTCCGTCTCCTGTCCCGCTTCTTCTCCTCATGCGTCTTGTCTCTCATGTAATCGATGGCTTCCAGTTGCGCTTGTTCCTCTGGCGTGAGCTGGCTGATCACGAACGTCTTCGCTGCCTGCCTGAATCTTCGCACGCGCCTTTCTCTTTCATACTTGTCCTGCTTCTTTCTGTCTTCCTTGCTGCTGGGCTCCAGACCAGCGTCTTTGAAAACGCGCGCAACGGCGTCTTCGCCGTACAGGGATTGAATTGACTTTCCCTTTGCCTTCCCTTCGATCGCTCGATTCTTCACCACCCTTATTTCCAGCAATCCTCTCTTTCTTGCTTCCTGCGTGAATGCATCGACTCTCCGAGAGACAGTCTTCTTCACCTTCTCTGCACCTTCGGTTTTGACCTTCTTGCCCAAGCTGTCATAACCGCTGTCATCGTCCTCCCTTTTCCTCTTCTTCTGCTCCTCATTCCACTGCTGTATTGTGCCGCCCTCACTCTCTCCCTTCACGAATCTGCCATAGAGGCCTCCAGCAAACATACCCTTCTCTCTGACCTGGGCCAATGTGCTCTTCTTCCCCGTTCCCAGATCTTTCAGTCCAGAATCGTAGGCGCGCATCCACCACTGATCGCTGACAGCGGCATGCTTGTTCAACCCAACGCCCAGCACGTCGACCTTTTTCGAGATGAGTAGTGGCTTGCTGAGTCCGCGGGATTGAGCGCCATTGTGAGAGTCGAGACTACCGGAGCCAGACCAGCCGTAGGCCTTGAGCAACTTTTCGGCGTCCATGTTGCCCGGGTTATCGACAGATCTAGATTGCGAAGTCTCTGGGGCTTGGACTTGGGAAATTTTGGAGCCGCCAAGCGGGAATCGCCGAATGCGAAAGCGAGTCATGTAGCCGTCCTCGTCGTGCGGTCACTGCTCCCCATCTCTTGCCAACTGCATCGAGGGAAGCGAATGCTCGTACAAGGGTGATCCTTCTGCAGGCTTGATGTATCAGTGTGTTGAAGACGACCTCAATCTTCACAGCAAGATGCTCCCGCCCGAGCGCCACAATTCACGCTCGGCGCAGAGTTTCTCCGCTGCCCCGGTGTGCGACGACTTCAACATTGCAATACAGAAGGCGGCTTCACATTATTCGGGCGGGCGCAATTAAGACCGACCAACGTGCATCAAGTTGAAGAGAGTTGGACTGGAGCACTGACTCAGGCTGTATCTTTATTGCTAATGCTGCTCAGATACGCACCAGCATCCACCAACGTGAATGCTTCTCGACAGATCGAGACTGCTTCAACATGCCTTGCCGGGACTTCCTCGTCCAAACGTCCTCGGATGCGGTCGCTGACTTGCCGACAGATTTATGGACTGATCACAATGTATTCAAGCCTGATGACAATGATTCCACGCTCGAATGGTAGCCGGTCCTTCACAAATGTACATGCGGATCCTTTTCATCTCCCCAAGGATGTATATTGGTCTTCATCCCGCTTCCGTCGCGATATGCATCCAGGACCTTGTTGGCAGCTTCCGCATCCAGGCCTTCGATCACCTCGAAACTGCTAGGATGAACTTTCTTCTCCCTCAACCATCTGGGAATTTCCTCCCAGAAGCCCACTGTCACTTCAGGATGGATCGGAGATACGCCAAATACCAAGCGGCGCTCGTATCCGGCTGATTTTGAGCCTATCCGAGCAGCGTCGAATTCTCCTTCCGGTCGGCGAAGAGTGATCAACATGCCCTTCCTCGTGTTTGAGAGAGCTGCCACGCCAAGCTCTTGGTTCTCGCCAGCGTTGACCGTGTCAATCGCGTAGACCAAATCATCTCCTGCAACGGCACGAATCTGTTCCAATACGTTGGCGGCGTATCGGTCAATGATATGCGTTGCACCTCTGGAACGCAGCGAGTCCGCCTGGCGCATTCCAGCTACCACGATGATTCGACCTATTCCCGCCAAGGCTGCCAGCTCAACCACGGCTCGGCCAGTATTCGAACCACCCCCAATCACCAGAAGTGTGACGCTTACAAACTCGAAAGACTTTGCCTCTGACGAGAATGGAGGCGGGAAGCCATGGCCGGCTTTTGCGAAGAGAGCGATGAAAGCGGCTAGCACATTGACGGGAATCGTGGCTGCTTCATCTACGCTCAGGCCACTGTTCGCGATCCTGCCCACGAATCTCGCATCCACAAGAGCATATTGTTGCGCAGCGTTGAAGTCGTTTGGATCACCACCTTCGGCCATAGTGTGGCCAAACACATGCTCGCCAATAGAGAATCTGGCCGAGCGCTCGCCGGTTCCTACCTTCAAGACTTCTCCGACCAAGTCTGCCCCGAGAACATATGGGTAGCTCGATACGAAAAGGCCGTTGTCTCGGGTTCTCTGGTCATGAGGATTCACTACACGCCATTCAGCTTCTTCCTCTCATCTCCATCAGTGCAGACGATCGTAGACTTACGCCCAGCTACCAAGACCTTCACTAACAATTGATTCTCACCGGGCTGCGGGATCGGCCGATGCCCTACAACTAACGGAGTGCCAGCTTCGTGAAGGAGAAGAGCTGTCTGAGACATGGCCGTATCGGTACTGAAAGCCGAGCGTAGCTGTGGATAGATGTAGGCGGCCAGGGCTAATATCAAGAGATTCAGCAACAACATCCGCTAGGTGAGGAGTGGGTGCTTCTCATACGAAATTCGAGGCACTTGAGACCTCAAATACTCATCTTCACGCGACCTTCAGACGTGCCGCGTGGTTGGGACGAAGTACGCCCTCAGTCGCCTTCGCATTTGTCATCCCCGACACGCAGCTTGGTAATGTGAGCAGCCTGGTAAGATTACCATTGAATCAACCAGGTATCCAATCTTCTCCGCAAGGCAGCTTGGTAAGACGGTCGTTGGGACCCGTCACGCAATCAATCATCTCGCGAAGGGCGTATGAAGAAGATCACGGATCTTCCGAGGCTTTATAACGATTGCATATCCTGATTACTGAACACAAGATGTTCTTAAAGCCAGGTTGCTACTAACGAGAATCTGGACGGAATGAAGGAGTTCGTGCTTCGCGGCTGAAGGAGAACGGAATCGCTGCAAGAATTCTGTGGTTATAAGTATAGTCGAGTCCGGAAATGAAGAATATCGAGCCCGGTGAAGTCGAACACTTTTATCATTCCTTCTATTGCACTTGAACAGAAGACTACTCATGAAGCGTGCGAGGGACTCTAGAAGCTGACAAATTGTTACCACTTCCGTCTGATATACTCCATTGGGATCCATGGGGCAGGCAGGGATTGACGGAATATGATCCGCTGTACGAGATTGACACACAGAGGTTAGTTTCCTGCACATGTCGACCACTGCTCGATCTCTCTTCACCACTCGCATATACAGGTCTACGCTATGGGCTCAGCGCAGCATTATACCTGCCGCTTTGGGCGTATGGATGACCTCGATTCACCAAGAGTGTCACCTATTCCCCATTCGTACACCCACAGCTGCAACCTCGTACACTATACGAAAAACCATGACCCAATTCCTCTGCCACTACTGCGGCATGCCACGTGCCCACAGCGTGGCATCTCGAACATCTCCTGCAAGCAGGAACGAGCACTCCAATACACTGCTGATCCTGCCTCGGTGAACACAAAGATCTACAAGCAAAATACTCTAACGGCTCTAGTGGCTCTTGAAAACTTCTTATTTCTCGCGTATGTCGCAGACACGAGCGACGTGCATGATGCTTGACTACTGACTTGGCGTATGGGGTAGTACGATAATAGCTGTGAGGGCATTGATTTCACCTACTCTGCTGGTAGTAGTCGGTGTTTGTCTATTGCTCCTCTTGAGACGCGATGACTGTAAACTTTGCTATGTGGATCTGTAGGAAGAGGAGGGGTTGGGGACGGACGATTCTTGCTATAGATAGAGAACTCCTTGGTTGTCAATCTTTACTACTTCTCGTCCTTGCAAAATCCAGCTTCTTCATAAGTACTGCGATTGATCGATCGATAGACTCCTCTACACAGTCCATTGACGGGTCAAATCAATTTCGAGACCCACGAATCCAGCGTCCATACGCCGTCTACTCAAGATGCATTTCTCAGCCCTCACCTCCCTCCTTCTGGTCATTGCGACCCTTTCCTCTGCGGCTCCAGTCGAGGAACGCCAACTCAATGGCGCTCTACTGTGTCCGTTGCTCGGAACACCACTGTGCAATGTTCAATGCATGCTACTCACGCAGACTTCTGGACAATGCGCGCCAAACAGGTGAGTGTGAAGCGATAACAAAGCTTTCACATATGAATCAGAGCGCTGATGAGCTTTCGTGATGTAGGAAATGCTTCTGTGCCGATGATGCAGGGACCATTTTGGAGTAGGGCGCGATCAAAAGCTGGGTCAACGAAAGGGTGTGAACTGTGGAAGAGATTGCTTGGCTTGAGAAAGTACTCTCAACAATGGTTGAAGCTTCGAAAAACATGTCGTTCTGCAGCAATACTGTCAATTTGTCATTCCGTCATCCTCGATATAGAGGCGCCATATTTGTCTGCATTGTCTCTCACAGGCCAGCCAACCTTCTGAGACCATTATTCCTGATCATTCTTCCATCTCCTTCAATTCCAACACCTGGGGCCAATGGCTCACCATCTCCGATAGCCAGATCAACCAGGACTTTGGCAAGACTGGGCGCAGGAACAACCATGCCCTTATACACCACTTCGAACAAATTGCTCACACCCGTGGCGAATCTATCCCACAACTTGACATCTCGCTGCGCCAAATATTGTCCTTGTGTGTTGATCGCGCCAGGTCTCACATTGTACACGCGCAATCGCGGGCACGCTTTCATGGACTCCAGCAACAGGCTCTCCGCCATGCCTTTGACACGACTATACATCATCTTGCTCGGTCCCTCCGCATTCACGCCCTCACCGGAGATGTAGACGAAATTGAACTTCGGACCCAGCGTAGAGAACGCTTCCGCGGCTGCAAGCGGATACTGGAGGGTGATTTCGATGTAATCCGCTTCATTGATTCCTCGGCTGCTTATGCCTTGCGCCCAAATACATCCTGATGCGCCTTTCAACTGCTTGAGGACGGATGAGGGGTACTGGTGGTAGTCTTTGTGTAAGATGACATGGGCTTTGGGCTGGTTCTCTGCTAGTTTGACGTCGCGTCGCGAGAGTATGGAAACGCGTGCTATCGAGGCGTCGGAGAGGCAGTGGGAGAGAATCGCGGCGCCTGCTGAGCCTGTTGCACCGGTGAGTATGATATGTGCCATGTTGAAGGCTTCTACACGGTCATGAGGTTCAGGGCGGAGTGAGGAGGTGAATGCTGCAGGTGGTGGGCGGTTGTACAGAGAATTGAAGGATCGACTTCAGCCGTGAAGCTCGCGAGTTGCCTCTACGCCGATACTGTACATATCAGTGCATCTGGACTACAATCGCCATGGGTATGGCGAGAATGGCAAGCTTGATGGCACTTGTCTTTGTGATGGACACGAAGCATGTTGTCCAGTCATTCCTCCCAGGACGTCACGCCTTGGCCTTGCCTTGCTGTACCCCGTCACGGGGTTGGCGATGATGTATGCCTTCTTCACCCACAACCAAGTTCTGCTGCCACACACACATCATCTCTCGCAGTCCAGATGGCGTTTGTCGATCTGCTGACGACCACGCCTGCGCCACACACATGCCTCCCTCGTCGATCGGTGGCCTTTTCCAGGCCATCGGGCTGCTGCGTGGTCTACCATGAATCTTCGTGCCGCCATGTCTGCAGAGACTGAGGACAGTACGGATGCTTGAAGCTGTGAGACGAGATCGCACCGCTTCGACCGTCCGAGGACCGACAGCATGTATAACAACGAGATCTCTGAGCCGGAATGTGAAGGCAGAGACATTTTGGGCATCTCCAATGCCCTACACACCCCGTGGCGCCATCCGCAGCATCATCGTGCATGAAGAGCTAGAAGACAGCACACGCCTTGCTAGAACAGGTAACAGCAGCGTGGCGAAACCAGGTTTGTGCGTCAACTTAGTTCTGACCTCAATGGTATTTATGGTCGCTGTGTGGCACGTACGACGACTAGAAGTCCATAAGCGATCGATACACACGGGACATTGATCTAATAACAAAATTTCCTAAGCACCATGTCAGCACCACCCGTCCCAGTCTACAACGATACCACAGCTGTACCGCCAGCGAGTGCAAGCCATGTGAACCCAGGCCATGTGTCAGGAACTACACATACGACCAGCGATGTGCCGGGAGCAAATGCATCAGGACATGTGCAAGCGCCTCTAGCACCCGGATCGCAAACGACCGCACCTCAATCGACTGGACTTCATGCGAAGCTTGCCCAAGCACAAGGAACAGGCCCCAACACAACCGGCACGCGTTCGACAGTACCAAACACAGTGCCCCATGCAACAACATCTCATCCAACAGTCGGTCAGCCAGTAGGTCCTGGAGCAACTGCAGCACACCAGGCCCCACTTGGCGGAACAACAACGACCCATACAAACGCCCCTGTGGGCGCGACGACCACTACTCATTCAAATGCCCCGCTAGCCTCGACAGCAGGCGGTGCTGCTGTTGCCGGCGCTCCTGTGGCAGGCGCACCAGTAGCACAGCCGATGGCAAATCGATTGGCAGCATCTGGACTCCCTGTGCTACAGTCATTTCAGCCTCCACTTGGCCCCTCTTCCAACGAGCAACTCTACAGCCCTCAGCAGATAACACTCACACTTACGGAGAAGGTGTGGGCTCTTGGAGATACATTTACAGTACACACTGCCGATGGTGCGCAGATCATGCAAGTGAAAGGAAAGGGTAAGTCTAACTTCAATCATGTCTCCCAATGCTCCTGAACATCACTTTCTGACTTCACTCAGTCGTCTCCCTCCACGGCAAGAAGAAGTTCTCCGACATGGCCGGCAACGAACTCTTCACACTTGCAGAGAAGAAACTCAAGCTGCACAAGACATTCCATGCCGAGGCGCCCACAGGCCACAACTTTGACATTGAAGGTAACTTCTCCTTGGGAAGCTCAAAGAGCACTGTCAAGTTCGTCAATGCTTCGGATAAGCGACCAATGGAACTGCAAGTCAAGGGAGACTGGCTTGATCGCAGTGCAAAGATCACACTGGCTAGTGATCGCGACAGAGTCGTAGCTCAGATGAGCCGTAGCTTCTTGAACGCCAGGGAAGTCATTGGCAACAAGCAGACTGTAAGTCACGTACCAGAGCCCTTCACCTCTTGCACGGCATTGACGAGCGGAACAGTACTTCATCACAGTCGCACCGGGTGTCGACTTGAGCTTGATCGCAGCGATTTGCGTCGCGATTGATGAGCGCGAGAACGACAAGTAGTCAAGCAACCTCATTCGGCGAAGATGAGAGAGGGAACGATGCTCACGAGCATGTCCAGCGCCAAAGAAAGAATTTCAGCCTGTAGTTCAGCATGCTCTCAATGATACCACTTTGCGATCAGTCACTTTTCCAAAATCGTTCTTTTCGCCCAGTCGTTCATCATCCTCAACAATCATCCCACCAACTCCGCAACATCAGCATCCAACTGCTTCGGATTCGCCAACGAAGAAAGCACACTCTTCGTCCTCTTCCCATCCTGAAATACAAAATACGCCGGGAAAGTTCTCACCTACAATTCACAGAATAAGTCAGCAATCACTCACAAACCCTTTCCCGCCTCAATGTCCATCTCCACTTCTTCCACACCTCCCGTCTTCAACCCAATCACTGCGAAGCTTAGAAGAACTTACCACCAACTCAGCATTAACATCATCCGCGTCAAACGCATCATACCACGCAAAAGCAACCTTCCCACTGGCACTCTTCTCGTCGGCCACAGAATTGAAATGCGATTTAAAAGTCCTGCTGTTGGCCGTATAATTCGCATGAGCGAAAACAATCACCGTCGGAGTCGAAGCGATGAGTTCATCGTATTGTTTCTTGTTTTCGAGTTCAATAGCCATGTTGACGAGATCCTCTCCGATCAAATGGTGTAGGACTCTGTGATGTTGGAGCCAGTGATCTTGTGTTCAAATATCGTGGCTACTGGTTGAAAGAGGAGTATAGCACACCATATGCTCAGCCCGATGACCCCTCACGCCAAAGAAGCTCTAGATTCAGTAAGCTTTGTTCCTTTGCCGCGAAATGGCACCACGCTAAGGCTCTTGTGTACTTCTGTTGCGGGGCGCTGAGATCACCTGGTTTGAGACTTCATCTGATGATCTATCGTGAAATGCGCATTGTTGCGCTGCATACAAGAATCTAGCTCGCGTAATGTAAGCTATGGGAGCATGTCTCCTGAACGATGAGAGAAGCTGGCTCAAGCCAACTCAAACAACAACACCATGCATAATAAGCAACCTCGTTCATCCTCATCTCGCGGGGTCGGAAGTACAACTGCTGCTCGAGATACCCAAGCCAATAGACAATGCTTTTCAAACAAAAGCGGAACAGACCACAGCTGCAAACGCCGTGAACAAATTGACAAGCAGAAATGCAGCCATCCAGCGTTAGTGACTGGAGATGGCACAGTTTCCGCAATACCCGTAGAGGGGCTCATTGCCAGGCATTGGCATCTGCTCAACTGCATCCACGATCTCCATATTGTCGCAAGGTTGCCGCATATGACCGGCAAGCTGAGCCCAATGATGACGAGATCGAGGAGCGAGTGGAGCTTCAGGTGAGCCGTCCTCATTCACAGCACCGACCAGGCGAGGGCCTCTGCCGTTACTTGCAACTCTTCGCTGGTAGTTGAACCGTATGCCACTGTTGGGATCGCGTTCAGCGTCCGGGCCATGCCCAACGAACTTGATCTCGCGCCCGTCGCCACCTTTCCAGCCGTAAACCCGACGGACTTGGTCCGAGCCAATTGTCCACGAACGTGGCTGCTGGGCTGGAGTTCTCGGCAAGGCGAACTGCGTGGAGTTGAAGCCTACAGGCGGTGGGCGAGGCGCCATCAGAGGCGGAGGAAGCATCGGCATGGCTGGCCTGCCTGGAGCGAGTGGTGTCTGAAGGTCGATACCAGACTTGGCTGCCCAGTGGACAGGTTGGCCGAGCGGATGAACGCGAGGGAGCTGAACTTGACCCATGTGTGACTCTTGCGGGCTCGAACCAAAAACATCTGGGCACGTCGTGGACAGCGATTGCATGCCAGCATACTGCCCGTGAACTGGACCTGCACCTTGTGAATGGCTTTGATGATACGGACCAGGAGCCCCGCGGATATGAGTGCGACGTTCGAGGATCGCACGTCTCATATCCGGCGTCATGTTCAGCCATTCGTCCTCATCGTAGAACCTCGTTGCTTCCTCGGTCGTGGGAAAGCCATCAATGAATGCTGGCGGCGAGTCATCAGGTGCTCTAGTCGGCTTTGGCTGAAGCTTGACGGCAGCTGCGTAAGTATGCGGGAGGGTGGAGTTCGAGGAGAATGCACCACGAAGTAATGGTGCGCCCTGGTGCTGTGCTGTTGTTTGCTGATGCACAGGTTGCTGTACCTGCTGTAGCATTGGCTTGAACTCCTGCGCTGTGGCTCTAAGCGAAGGCGGTGCATCTGTCGTCTGACGACTCGTAGCAGATGAAGTGGTCGCTCGCTGAGCGGCAGCATCTTTAAGAGCAGCACGCACATGTGGGGGGACCACAACCTTCTTGTTTCTCGGAACAGCATCAAATTCGCGTCGCTCCTTGTCGTCACCCTTTGATGCCTCAAACGTTGCTTCTTGAATGTCGTACATCGTTCGCGACTGCGGCGGGCTGAAGGGATCGGACTGGTTGGTTCGCGAGCTTGGACTGAAGAGATCCGAGGTGCCACGTACGTTGGAAACATGCGGACCGTCTCTGAGAATACCAATTCTATCCAACTTCGCCTTGATTGGTATCAGAAGATGCCCATGCGAGCCTCTACGCTGGGTGGTCAGGTTGGCGACCATGGGTAAACCAGCTGCCCTAGCCTGCTGCGAGAGAAGCTCGGCAATCGAAGTATTTGCAGGCAGCTGGCGAGAGTGTGGTAGATCAGCGCCAATTGTAGAACGTCGTGGGGCAGGCAACTTGATGGAGTCCTTGCTTCGTGGCTGCAGCTCGGACATTCGACGATCGCTCAGCTCCACTTGAATAGTGGTCTCAAGCGATGCGGAAGAGGCATCGTCCGATGTTATTGTCGCTGTATCCCTCACCAGCGTCGGTGAGACATCAGCCTTGACAACATTGCGCTGCAGTCGGGGAGAGTAGGGCGGCGTAGTTTCTTGTCCGATAGTCGCGATAGTCCGCTGGGTAGCGGCCTTCGTCGGTGACCTGTAAGTGCCCGTCTTCTTCCGAGGGTTGGCTTCCTGCGCTGCAACAATCTGCTCAGAAGCATGAGATCCGATGCTAGGGTGTGCAGGGACCTGACAGTGTTTCGCTGCCTGTGATGGAGAGCCACTAAGCCAGTCACCCGGCAGAGACTTGCGCTTTTGTTGTTTTTGGGCGCTGGAGCATAGCGAAGGCGACTTCCCCTCTGGTGGAGTGCCACTAGTGTTGTTGTTGATGCTCTTGCGAATCGTCTCGTCAGCGCGACGACTGAAAGCCATGGTAGGCTGGGCGAATCGGGGCGGTGCTTTGACGGGAGTGTTGGATTTGAGGTTCAGCTGTGTGTCTTGATCGCATGTCCCATCATTCGCAACGCGCCAGATCCTGGATGCAGGGCCTGGCGTCTGCGTGGGCGACGCAGATGTATTCTCTTGGTCTGCTGCATCGGCGGTGGTAGCCGACTGCGAGACGCTGTTTCCATTCTCCTCCTCCCTCGTGATGTTGTTCTTGTCCTCTGTCTGCACCCCAACGTGCGTCACCATGCTTGCATAGGACGGTTTGCGAACCGCGTTCGATTTGAGCGACGATGGTTGCAAAACGTGCTCAGCGGTATAGAGTTCAGGAAAGTCGAGACTGCTCGGAGGGGTGGTCGGAGCATCAGGCATCGCCATATCCAGCACACAAGCTTGCTGCAGTTGCATCCTCTCATGTTCACGTTGAAGGAGAGCTGCCGGAGAAAGATTGGGGTCGATCGCCTGCAATGGAATGTCACGATGACCCTGAGTGACCGGCGATGATGGATTTTTCGAGTATGCGCTTTCATTGGCATCCCGGGATCTCTGAAGGTAGTCACCTTCTCTCTTGAGTCGTTCAAGTTCTTGCCGTGCTTCGACCAGCTCCTTGAACATCTCAGCATAGTCGCGGGCCGTGTACCGATGCTGTGGACTTGGATTGCTTTGCGGTGCCGCGTTGGGTGTCTGCTTGGTGTCTTGTCTGCTGAGACGGATCAGTGCCATTCAACATATCGATGAGCAGTGGTATGCCAGGTTTCAGAGCCTGAATGAGTAAGACGTACCTGTCAACAGACTGTTGCTTCGATGAGGATTGTTCGGGAATCGCGTCGGTAGGAGGTCTCGCGCTTGCATCAGGGATCTTGTTGCGCTGTCAGCCAAATGCCATGCCACGGGGTGTGAACGAGCTACTAACGGCGCACTCGTGTCCGTAAGCGTCGAGCCGACTGGTCTCTGCCGAGGGTGTATTCTTTGCAGCCTCGACTATCAGTTGAAATGGTTCTCTCCAATTCGATCTGGCGAATGTGGGCAGCGTAGCCATGTCGATGATGAGTGGGTCCGAATGCCTGCGGACGGGTCGTTGCAGATGTAAAGATGCGACGTCTGAAGTCGGCTCGAAGATGGATGGTAAGGTGTACTGCCGATGCGAGGTGTGGGAGTCTGATGTTGTTGTGGTGGGAGAGGAGGATGGGGCAGTGGAGTTGGAAGTCAGGTCGGGGATGGAGCTCGCGCTCCCCTCGTCGTCGTCGAATGGGTCGGAGTTGCCAGCAGTCGACGGCGGTCGCGGTGGGTGTTGTGACTGCTGTGGAAGGCGCGCGGTTGCGACCGGAGTCGCATTCGCGCAGTAGTTGACGAGAACGGTCCGCTGGTGGCGACAGCCGGCGTAGTAATAATACCTATATTGGCACATTACTGTTGCGCGCGCGACATCGATGCTGCGAGAAGCGGGAGAGTTCCTGGGAATGGGGAGCAGAGCGGTATGGATGCGCGGATGTGGGATGGTCGTGGCTGCTCGAGTCTGTTCCAAACAAGTTGCGGCAGATGTTTGACGCGGGTCTTGCGCGCTCGTGGCAAGCACGCGTGGCGGCAGTTGTCGTTGATGAAGCCCAGCTGCTTTGCGGTCCGTCCCTATCCTTTCTCCTTTCGTCCTCACCCCACCCTTTCGCCTGCTTCACTTGAGAACTTCTCCGTTCCCGCACGCGATCAGCATGTGCTCTCTGCTTCGGGGCTGGGGCGAAACGAACTTTTTGGAGGGCCAGCACGAAGTTTCCTGCATTCACCACGAACAATACCTACTTCAAAATTTGCGCTTCTTCTTGACAGGCTCCTTCTTCTTCTCTGCGATGTCTTGCTTGAGCTTATCACGTCTCTCATTGGCCCGCTCCTCGGAGTTCTCACGCTTCTGTTCGACCTCCTCTGTTTCCCGCTTCACTGAAGCTCGTGACTGTCTGTCCTCCTCACCGACCGTGTTCACATCGTCTTTTCGAGAACCTGGGGCATCCAAGTCATCTTCCACCTCATCATTCTCGGGCTCAGCCTTTGCGCTGCCACCAAAGGCACCAAGACGAGGCTTCGTCTTTGCGGGTGATGAGTGTGCCGATCCACCACCAAACGCGCCAAGCTTATTGATGCGCTTCGGAGTTGACTGTGAGGGAATGCTTGCCGCTTCCTCATCTTCTAGATCAGGAGTCTTACGCTTACGCTGGCCACCAAATTGGCCGAGCTTGGGGCCACTTTGATCATTGCGGATTGTGCTTGGCAACGGAGCATCTTCGTTCTCTGGTTCTGGTGTCTTTGCCTTGTGCTTCCCTCCAAAAGCGCCCAGACCTGATCTTGCCCTTTGTTTGGACTTCGTCGGCGAAGGTTCTGTTTCTGGGGAAATGTCAGCGATCTTGTCTGTTGGTCCTGCGCTGCTCTGCATACCATCCTCCTCCACAATCTTGCGCTCATTCGAGGCTCCATGCGAGCGGTCTGCTAAAGCTGCATCTTCTCGTGTATGCGCCTTATCTTCATGACGTGACGAAATCTGTTGCTTGTTCGCCTGCTCCTGGGAGGCCTTCGATCTTGGTGCATCTAGGTCATCCTCATCTTCTGTCTCCTCGTCCTCGTCTTCGCCGGCGGTGGGTGTAGGAGAGGCTCTTCGTGGTGGCGTAGCTTGCCGTTGGAATGCTCCGTTTAGTCTGCTGCTCTCATGATTTCTGAGGGGAGGTGGACTATTCGATCTGGTGTCTTTGGTTGGTTGACCTCTGGGGCCGTCAGTCGACACGCCACTGTCCTCGGCCAAGTTTGAGGTTTTGTCGGGAACTCTTCCTCCTCCGCAAGACCGCCACCAGCTACCCTCCATTTCCTTGTGGGCAGTAAGCAACCGACTGCTAGGCAGTCCCGCCAACAAGTCATCGAGAGTTTCCATGGAAGGCTCCGCGTCGGTGCTGTTCTTTGCACTTTCTGCTTGCCAATGTGCTGCATCAAATGGCGCAAGCCCATCAACATGGCCAGCAAGCTGCGCTCTCTTCGGCGCTCGCTTGTGAAACTTGATGTTCGAAGCTCCAGGAAAGACCTGCGTCAAATCTTGCCCGATATTTTCGAGCTTGTCAGCAATCTTCGCAATAACACGATCTTTGTGGCCAAGTTGCTCCACCAAGTGCTGAATCTGTGATTGCAGAGTATTGGTATACAAAAGTAAAGGTGCAACAAGATCAGCCTCGAGAGCATTGCTGTCGTCGCTATCAAGACGACGTAATTGCATTGTCCATTTGAGAGTTGGTAACGAACCTGGCAGAGGCACTGACACGCTGAGCTCAAGCCCATCTTCAGTGTCGCCGGGCTCAAGCCTGAGATGCGTCTTGCGTTCACAACTCAAGGCGCTTTGGATCCTCGACAAGAACTGATCAAATTGCTCCTCGTCTTCGCCAGGATCTATGCTGGTGCCCTGTTGACGCGCACTTTCCACGAGCTCATCTCCGGTCAAACTGACTGCCCAGAGCCGGTTGAGATCTGTGAGCTCCAAAGTGCACTTGACCTGACTCATGTCTGCTTTCAGAAGCAGCAGCGGGTATTCGCCACTGACCTTGAGTGACTTCCATGGCCGGCTGAAAGCCATGCTGCCAAACCACCGACGCGTGTGTTGTTGTTGGTTGAACGCGCGACGCTTGGTGCCTGAAGTGCACAAGCCTCAGCAGCGGCCTCCAGCTCCGCACCTGGCACGAGCGTTGTCTTGGCAAGCACGAGTCAGGCGTCGTGAAGTTCAACTTCAGACCGAAGATTGTTTGTGCAGGAACGCAATTCACGCCATTGCCTAATCATCGAACCGCTCGCCTCGCAAGGCGCCTTACACCACGACCCGTGCGCGACGTGACACGCCCAGTCCCGCGGCCCGACCGCACACTGCGCAAAATGTCACGCTCTACGATTCCGAGCAAGCGATCTGCGGACGCCCAAGAGGACGCATGGGTGGCAGATGAGGACAGATTTGTGCTACAGCAGTCGAAGAAAAAGGCAGCTATCAGAGCAAAGGCAGGGAGAGCACAGCCAATTGATTGGCTAGCAGTTACTTTGGCAGTCATTGACCCGGAGCGCAATCCATTGGGTGATGAGGTTGATCCCAATGAGCTGGAGACCGTGGATCCAGAAGCTGTGTTCGATGGCTTGGATGATGCCCAATTGGCGGACTTGGAGAAAAGCATTGAGACGTACATCACGCTGGAGAAGAGCAAGAGCAATCACGACTATTGGGCTGTAAGTGCTTGCCATGCTGCCACGATGAGCTTACTAGACTGACGGAATGACAGATGATGAAAACGATCTGCATAGATAGGCGGAAGGGAAGTCAGAGCACACAATCAACAGCGCGCGGCGTCGGCGCAGTAGCATCAGATCTGGACAAACTTCTCGGGCCCAAGACACTAGAAGAACTGGAGAAGTTGGAGAAGCAAATACGAACAAAATTGTCCTCCAACGAGCCAATCGATACCGATTACTGGGAACATTTGTTGACGAGTTTGCTCACCTACAAGGCCAGAGCTCGACTGCGAAAGGTGTCGCGCGCGGTAGTGGAGGCACGATCTGGTGGGTTGCGCAAACAGCAAGTGGCGGAAGCTGCTGCACTCAAATCACGTCTGGAAGCACGTCTCCAGCTACTGTCTGCTAGCGGTCCGGAAGATGCAGGCGTGTCGGGTGCGAACGACCTTGACGACAATGGTCGTCACGCGCTAGATCCGGAATCACTCCTCCGAGTGGAGCCAGAGGACAAATCGCTGAAGATGTTGACCGCGGCCGAATTTGCGCGACAGATTGCCGAGGATAGGCAGAAAGTGATGAAGACTGGATTCGTGCCAAGCTTTCAGCAGAGTGCAAATGGTCAGGCATCAAATGGCTCTGGTCAGGTCGCAAAACGTGCTCGAACGGACGGTGGCGAAGCAACCCAATCTGCTTTTGACCGTGAGGTGGCGCGAGGTCTTGGCGAGAATGAGGAACTCTTCACTCAAGAAGTGGAAGTCGTTACCAGAAATCGTGCACAGTGGGCGCAGCAGCATCGACCGCGGAAGCCCAAATACTTCAATCGTGTTCTGCTTGGCTACGAGTGGAACAAGTACAATCAGACTCACTACGACCACGACAATCCGCCACCAAGGGTTGTCCAAGGATACAAGTTCAATGTGTTCTATCCCGACCTGGTTGACAAGACCAAGGCACCAACATACCGCATCGAGCGAGAAAATGGGAGAAAACGTGGGGAGACGTTCGCGCCAGCTGGAGAAGACGACACCTGCTTGATCCGCTTTACTGCTGGCCCACCATACGAGGACATCGCTTTTCGCATTGTGGACAAAGAATGGGACTACAGTGCGAAACGAGAACGTGGCTTCAAGAGCAGCTTCGACAAGGTATGCTTCCCTTCACGAGAACTCATGCTGTACTTGAGTAAAGACAGACACATTGTGATGTGCAGTACACAACAGCATGCCCTGCAGCACTTTTGAGACTGACGTTTCATGTAGGGCATCCTTCAACTCCATTTCCAGTTCAAGAAGGTAAGTGGCGCGTTAATCCAGCAGGAAACAAGCAACTGACCACGTGATTTAGATATACTACAGAAAGTAGTTCACCAGCTGCGCTCGGCCACCAATGCACTATTTGAGCGACCCCATTACATTCAAAGTCGGTAGACATCTGCTGTCTGGACGACTTGTAATACATGACTTCAGGTTCGGCCGTAGGGCATAGGGCCACTCATCGCGGCTTTCTATGTTCCGCAACACCTGTCAAGCGTAGCGAGCTCAGCTGCTCGAATCAAGATTTTGGCACCTGTTGTGATTGCGCAACGAGCCCTCACTTGTACCTGTCCTTTCACGTTGGCAGCATCACGAAGAGACACGCATTGCATGCCACCGCATCGTTGACACCTGCAGTGGTGCCGTGTCTGCAGCATTGTGCGCCGTCCTTCCGCACTCCAGTTGGAATGAACAATGGATAGCGCCATCTGAGACACAATCGGGCACACAAGAAGATCGTGGACAGGGGTGCCTGGGGAAGCGTCGACGGGAGCGTGCTCTCAACCGCGGGAGACGGCATCGTGTGAGGCGCCAGACAGAGCACTCTGCCCAGGACCGAGTGCAGCACCACAACGGATTACAGCCGTGAGCTGCCAGCCTTAGGCAGAGGAAGGGTCGGCGCACCTCAGATCGCAAGCTCGTCACCATCGATTGACAGGAGCAAACGCCAAACATTGCATCGAGTCGCCAAGCGGCTCTTGGACGATGACAAAACATTCCAATAAGTCATGCCCACTTCAGGACGCCTGCTTCCGCGCGAACCCCCTTCTAGAAGGCTGCGATCCTGGGCTCGACGAATGCGCGTGCCGGCCTCTCTCTGCGAGTTGCGCCGCTGCTGCACCACCAACACGGGGGCCGGAGCCTAGGCACATGCATGCATCCGCCAGCCTAGCGCAGGTGCGGGAGTCACCCGTTAAGCTACGCCAACCACGCGTGAGCCTATCCGTGTCTGTCAGTCTGTGCGATGGAGCCCATGACTGCTCCAGCAGATGTCGTGCATGCCGCTGCCGCCATCCAGTGTCGGCATATCTGGAGGCGGCGTGCCGGCCCATGCTGTCCACCCAGGATATGCCTGGTGCTCGCTGGAGGGCTAACAAAGACACAACCTGCCGCTGTCAACAGCGCTCCAGGACCTTGTTTGCGTGCAGAAGAGCGGGCATACGTGACCACAATGGCTGCTGCTTGGTAGGCATGGAAGCGCAGCCGAAAATACGGCCATGTGAGTGGGCGTGCGCTGGCGGCAGCGCTGCCAAAGCAAAGCGTGCATCCGTGACAATGACCATCTGGATGCACGCGCAAGATGCCGACCAGGGCATCTTCCAAATACGCTGCAAAGACTTGCAGCATCGTAGGTCCTTCTCACATTTCTTTATCTCTTCCCCCTTACCCGTGCTCGGCACAGATCTGGTTGTTCCCTGTTGGCCGCACACGTGCAGCACTACTGTTAAGCATCACAGAAGCCTACTTCGCATGCCCAGTCTTCATCGTTTCGTACCACACCGCCCCATCATCGAGCTTCTCGCCTGATAACCACTTGAGCTCCCCGGTCTCCAGAGAAGCTTTGTTCAACAACAATCCGCCACAACTCGCTCTTGCACCTGGACAGCTTTTCACGAATTGCAGATCTCGCCGTTATGGAGGTTCAGGCTGCCTCATGGCATCCACTCGAGCGTGGGCCGACTTCCGCATCTGGTGACGTCGGTGTCACGCAGCCACAAGACCAACCACGACACGCTTCACTGTCTCTTGACCAACAGGCCGCCGACATTTTGAAGCTCTTTGGGGAGACCGATGACTGCGCTTCGACAACAGACATGGAGTTCGACGCCTTCCCGTTCGAGGACCCCGTATCAGCGCAGTTCGGAGCCATGGACTCCGACCCCTCCCCCTCCGACCCCATCTCTTCCACCAGCGACGGCTCCACTGCCTCCTCGTCTTCCGACTCAAACATGGCGCAAAACACCTTCTGCCAGTGGCCAATGGCGCCAGCCCCACCAACGTTCGGGTACGAGCAGACCGCTCATCAGCCCGGCCTGGCGTGGGTACCCGAAGCGCGCTTCGACCACGCCTTGAACTTTGGCTTTCACGGCGGTGACGCACTTGGCATACACATGCCCACTTCGAGTCCTACGCAGATGGGGGGCATCGCTCGGTTCGAAGTCGACTACCCGCCGCATCAACCACCGATCGTCGCACGCGACGATTATGGAAGGCAGCACTTTGCCGAGTCCTGGCAATCACCCCAGCGGAGCGCCACAATGCCACACAACTCCCTTCGAGACGACAGCGACGAGCAGACCGCAGAGTCCGCCGATCCATGTTACGCGCAGCTGCTCTACAAGTGTCTTGTCGAGGCGCCGGACCACACGCTGTCTCTTCGCGAGCTGTATGAGTGGGTCGCGCAGCACAGTCAGAAGGCCAGAGACCCGAACAATAGGGGCTGGCAGAATAGTGTTCGCCACAACCTGTCAATGAACGCAGTGAGTACAGTTCTTTGCTCGTTCTGCAACACTCGCTGACTCTACTAGGCATTCCAGCGCGTCACGGATCGACCCAACTCCACTAAGAAAGGCAGTCTTTGGCGTCTGACCGATGAAGCGCTGCGAGGCGGCGTGATCTCGACGACACGGTATCGGAAAGATCCCAAGCGCAAGCCTGAGCGCCGCGCAACTCCTGCTCCGAACCGACAAGCATCAGGTGCGAAAGGTGGTCAGGCCACGAGAGACGCCAGCCGTTTGCGCCAGCAACAGCAGCGCCTGCACGGCATGCACGGTCCGCCCAGACACATTCGCTACGGAGAACGTCGCTACCACGGACATCCTCCTCCTGGATACAGCCCCTATTCCGTGCACTCGACTCCACACTCTCCTCAAACGATGCCGCACTTCCTACCACATGGCCATCCTATCAGCGCACCCACCAGTCAGCCTGCGAGCCCATACTTCAACGTCCGCCCAGCAGATGCCGACGACCTCACACCTCTAGGCATGCACCTACAAGGCTACCACCAAGCAACACCTGAGGACTTTCGCGTTGTGCCCAAACCGCTTCCAGTCTCCGGTCTCGAGTTCCTGCCCATCGACATGACCCAAGGAGGTCTCTTCGGTGACCACGACCCGGAACTGGGTACCACGCATCCCGACACGCCGACTCCAAGCCTCATGACCGAAGCAAGCTTCATGACCGACGACCACGGCATGTCTCGCGGCAACAGCAGAGAGGGAACGACCTTTCAGTAGTCAGCTTCCCTTTCTGGGTTCTCACATTAAACGACAGTATGCTTCTTCGGCGACGCGGCGTCCAGGAAAAAGGGAAAATCAACTCTACGAAATCACGACAGGATAATTGAGAAAGTTTCTTCTTGTTTCTTTTTGCATACGCGACGGAAAGTTGGGATAGAATGGCAACGGTTCTCACTGAACAGATACCAAAGGATGTCAAACGCTTTCGAAAACTTTGTCGGGAAGAGAAGCAGCGACTTGCTCTGCTGGCGGCGCGGTGTGTCTTCTCTTTCGCAGCAGTTGGATATTGAGGCTTTATTTCGGGTACTTGGTGTTTTGCGTCACGACTTGGATGAATGCTTGACCCACTGGCTTTGCTGTCGCGCTCCTGGTCGCTGGCGTTGGACACGGAATTCGCAGGACAAAAGGAATGGGAATGTTGATCATCACCTTCGATCATTGTGTTTTGCAATGTGTACAATAGCGCGCAGAAGAAGAAAAAAGCAGCTAAATAAGTTACAACGTTCGTTTTTGCTACACAAATCATGCTGCCACAAAGAATCATTCCATCTCTTTACATTTGAATAACTATTACCATTACTTTGCTTTGGCAAAAAGCCTCTCCACATACTCTTACATCGCCGTACTAGGCCTCTTAACCGTATTATTCTCCCTATCCAACCTCCTCAAAATCTCCCTATCATGCTGCGCCAACTCCGCCAACCCCATCCTCCTATCCGTAAAACTTGTCTGCCTCGAATGCGTCTGCACCGGCGGCGGCGAAGTCTCATCCGCATTGACCAGCACCACAACCCATAATCCCACAGCTCCCGTGTGGTGCAAGAGAGGTGTACAATGAACCCAACGCGGACGACCAGCATTTTCGACGATTGCTGTGCGATTTGTTGCGCGAAGCCATTGAATTTTTGCTGTGACGGCTACGCCTTTGCGGAGGGACTTTTCGAGGTCGGATTTAATTTTGGGGTTTCCGCCGATGCGGGAGAGGAAGTGGGTTTGGAGGATTCCTGGGGTGCGGAGGGAGGCGGAGGCGAAGAGGATGCGGAGGGATGGAGCGGGACGGACGACGAGATACTGTTTGTGTTGTTAGGGCGTGGTCTGATGCAAGGAAGTGTTGGTTGACTTACGTGCTTGTAGATTCCCTCCAGTTGTTGGCGTGGAAGCTCAGAGAAGGATAAGGTCTTCTGTTGTTGTCGCGTTTCTTCCTTGGGGCTGCCATCCGAATCATGGGCATCATTTCGATCCGCTTTGTCTGGATGATTGACTGGATGGGCTGTCTGATGCAAGTGATTATATCCTTGACATAAGCGGCCCCCATTGCGTTTGACTGTATCCATTTCATTGGCGTCAAGCATGACACTGAGTGCTCGTATTGCCTGTACATTATCAACAGTCCCAGGTTTGCAGCTGTCTCCAGGCAATACTGCAGCCGTGTCGAGCTTGGGCACACTTTCCGGATAATCTCCATCTCTCAACAGACCTGACACATCGACTTGTGCTCCGAGCCAATAGCGCACGGTGCCCTGATTGTTGAATAGAGGTGCTATCATCACGAGATTGAGGAATGGACTGCCGTCACGACGATAGTTGATGACCAGTTCGGTATGGTCTTTGCCCTCGGCGCATGCGATTGCCATTCGTCTGACAGAATATTTGCTGGTGCAAGGTCCTTGTAAGAAGCTGCTGTTTCGGCCGATCGCATATTTCAGGCCGTATTGTGTTGTCAACGCGAATTCCTCCGATGCAAGAACGATTGCTAATTCATGTTAACATGATTCTCTCCAAAAGCTTTGCATGTATCTCTACTCACGATGACCTGGTTGACTGGGATCTGATAATACAAAGACTTCAGCAAGCCCATTGCTCGGATCCCGCAAACGAGTGGACAAAGCTCCTGAGATCCGTCGCTCGATACTAGCACTGACAACGCGAGTATAGATATGGCAGACATACGCCGGTAAGTCTTCTCGAAGCAGTTCTTCGAAGATCTCACTGGCAGCTTCGGAAAGCTTGTCGTCGACGAAAGCGCTTGGCGGATTTGTGACTATGGCCGGTGCGTCTTTCTCTGAAAGTTGTTGCATGATCGCGCGTGCGTAGTTCATCGCGCGAATTGCCTTCAACGCGTCCCAGTAGTACGCCAAGAGTCCAGCTCTGGTCGGCCGATAGACGCGAAGATAGGCAGAAAAGAGTGATAATGATCTTGCGTCTTCTAGAATGACCCGAAGATGGTCTGCACTAAACAGCTGCTCAGCTCGTTCTTCCAAAGAGTATTTGCCGTTTCCTAATGTTCTTTCCACTGGTCTGAAAATGCTAAACGATTTCGGATCGTCTGTAGTTGGAAGCTCGACATCAGGTGCTTCAATGCTCTCCGAAGCTCTGGATTTAAGAGGCAGTAGAATGTGGTATGGATCGCCCGAAGACTCCTGTGTGAAACTGGCGGCCGAGCGCAAACTGAGTCTATGGCTGAATCGTTTCTCACGCATCGACTGCTGGATCGAGGGACGTGATTTGGCACTTCCAGCATCCGATAGAGGTGGTGTAGGAATTCGAGCCGGGAGACTAGTCGAGCTACGCAGAGCTTTAGCGATGAGCTTCCATAGGTCTATGGACTCCTGCCTTACCTGAGGCGCTTCGCGTCGACCTTGACATCGGGCTTGACTTGGTGCTCTACCGGAGTTGGCGACTTGAGCTGCGTCGGTGGCAGCGGAAAGTCGTCCAAAGTAGACGAATCTGACGACTTGATGTCCTTGCTTTCCTCTGGTTGCCCAATTTTGCTATCTACTCTTTTCGCCGGGACGGGCTTTCTAGGCGCTCTTTCGGTATGTGCCACTGCCTGAGCCGTTGGAACGTTTGGCTTCGAACTCGGGAGAGCAGGTGTGCTGATACTAGCACGCAGTGCTTGGTCTGGCAATGACTCTCGGGACATGCGAGTGGCGCCACCACTGTATACCATCGACATCGGTCTGGTAGACGAGGGCTGCTGAGCAACTGGGCGTGAAGGGCGTACGGCATCATTCCGTGTCGCAACGCGGGTATGCTGTGCCGTCAGTGTCGCACAGTCGAGAAGGACCTCGTCATACATACAATTCCATTGAACTTCCTCGGATCTTCCAGCTTAGGGCTTGAGATGACTATCTCATCAGCGGACGACTTCTTCTCCTTCTTTCCTTTGCGCCGAAAAGCTGCGAAGATATTGAACGGCCGCGCCAGTGACTCTCTGTGGGTATCCTTCATCTTTTGGCTTCTGTGACCATTTCTATTAAGTCAAGGCTCGCACTGATCGCTGTCACAGGTCATGTGTCAATTCATTTGGTATCTCCCCAGTAGTATTGATAAGAGAAGTTGTTCAAACCGCAAGAGACCAACACCGGAGCGGGTGAGGGTTGGAATCCACATTATCGCGACAGCTCACGCGGGTAGGAGGTACAAGGCAACGGGCCTAGATTGACCAGGCTGTGGCACTTGCTCCTCGAAGCAGATTTCCAACACCAAACTCAAAATGCGGTAGCTAAAGATGGAGCAAGGGTCGTGTCTGGCTGATCCCTTTCAGGCAACGCAGTGCTCGCCTCATGGCGAATTCATTCTCGTCTCGGTACACGGAATGTGTTGAAGGAAGCATCCCTAGTCGAACCATGCCGAGGCAGGGGAGCATGTTTGCGTGAGCCATCGGGGAAAAGGCCGAAGGCCATGCTTGCGAAGTCTTTTTGCTCGATGCTGGACAGATGCGCAGAATGCACGCGTGAGGACAGGAGTATGAGAACAAATGTCCTTGCGAGTGAAATTTGTCTGCATGAAATTGCTGTGCTTGAGGATGCGGCCAGAGAAGCGAGGCATAACTGCTTGACCATGCAAGAACAGGCATGGGTGCAGTTTGTTATTCGAATGTATGATGAACTTTCTGTCTAGTCTTCCAATCGTGGACTGTCCATTGCAGGTTTGGCCAGTGTTCGTTCCGAAGCCGGCTTGAGTAGACTGATAAGTAATCATTCACGTCGATGGAAGAACCGTATGTGGTTGGCGGTCGTGGTGTAAAAGAAGTGTCGCAAGGATGAGTGGTGATGCTTGGAAGAACCATGTGGGACCGAAAGCGAGCTCGAACCCTAGTGGACAGTTCTTTCCGCCTCAATCTCAGCACCTGGATGATACATGTTTACAGCAACATGGTGCTTTGACGAAAATTTAAGGTCATGTGAATGCGGCGTGCACGAAGCCATGAGTGATCTGGGTCGTGAGTGCATAACCAGAAATAGGCGTCGACACATCGATCGATCGTATCGCTCGTGAATCAGCGCCGAATCTCGGTCGGAAGACCTCACGCAAATACGACAGTGATAGGTTGGTGGCGCTTTCAATGCAGCTAGTTGGTGACCGTAATCTTATTCATGGGCGAGAGCAGTCTACACAACCACAAAATAGCATAAAGGACACATTCTGGCAAAGAGCTTCCGATGGAAAGTCATGCGCGAGAAAGAGCTGGCTTGACTCTGTCCAAGTGAACGGTCTTGCTGAGAGCGGCCAACGAGAACCAGCCTTGTACCCATTGTTGTAACCTCCATCACTCGGCTTGAACGGACACGCGGGCTGCTATCAGAGGTCAAGTCGAGCCTTGCTCAAGCGCATGCAATATCGTCAAATGTTAGTCACAGAGAGAGCACAAAAAGATCTCCAAAGCACCAAAATGGTACATTTGCATGTGGACTGATTCCATTGCATACAGCTCTATGACATCAATGCCACAGTCTCAGGTATTGTCGTCGTCGTGAGGCGCAGACAGGAAGTGGCGGGCGGTCGTTATGTGAAGTCATGAAGCGTGATCTGTATTCGAGACCAGGACCCTCGGCTAGTGGTAATGTCCTTCAGGACCAAACTAGCTGCCATCTTTTTGTAACGCCTGCTCCGATGCATGAAGTCCCCATTTCTCTTGGATATCCCAGAAACACAAGACCCGCTTACATCACGACACCGGCGTTGGAGGCGATACGCTGCGGAACAATTCAAGTCAGCGACAGAACTTTCGTTTCCGTGCCCGCGCGCAGAGTGCCTCTGTTGCGACATCTCGATTGTACTCACCGGCCAAAGCTCAGCAGCCTCCTTGCCCACAGGCCCAGTAATAGCCGAACCCTTCATCTCTCCCTTGGGATTCACAATGACACCGGCGTTGTCCTCGAAGTAGAGGTAGATACCGTCTGCTCTCCTCCAAGGCTTGCTCTGACGCACGATGACAGCAGGCATGACCTTCTTGCGCAGTTCTGGCTTTCCCTTCTTGACGGTCGCCATGACCATGTCACCGACACCAGCAGCTGGGAGACGGTTGAGGCGTGCACCGAAGCCCTTGACGGAGATGATGTAGAGGTTACGGGCACCGGAGTTGTCGCAGCAGTTCATGACCGCGCCGCTGTGTTATGACACCTGTTAGCCTTTGTTTCTTCTTTTACACCGATATTCCCATGCATTGCTCTTTCTCCTCCGCTGCGCGACGGCCATGTTTCGGGAGTGCGTGGCATTTGCGATTCGAGGGTGCTGCAATTAGACGTACACTGGAAGACCGAGGGTCATCTTCAGCTTCTGACCAGAAGTACCACCGCGCTTGTTGGCCGACATCTTGACTGTGGTGTTCGAGGGGTTTCGCTGGGTGCGGTGATTTGATGTTGTCTGGGCCGGCCTCAAATCTTCGTGCACTTGAAGTTGAAGTTGCAGCAAATCAGCTGCTGTGGGACTTGGCACTCGGCTAACTTGCCGATCCTGGCCCCACTAAACCTCGTCTGCACGCCGAAAGCACTTGAACACCACATCATTAAAAACGTTCAGTGGGCGGCATTTGCTCACTTTGCATTCGTGTTGTCATGGGTAACTGTCCCGTGAATATGACAAACTATCTCGAACCTATCTAACCCAAGAGATCGTCCAGCCCGCTACTGCCAGTACTGGGCTTTGGTTGAGCAGAAGTTGCCGGAGCAGCAGCAGCTGGCGCATTGGCTCCATACAGACCAGCCTGAGTTTTCTGCTTCGCCATGTCTGCAATGGTTGGACCCTTCTGCGCAGGCCCCTTGCTTTTGAGTCCAGCGCCTCCCAGCAGACTAGCAAAAGCATCACCACCTCCCGACTTGGCCGCAGGCTTTGCGCCAATTTGACCTGCTCCAGGCGACTTGACTTGCGAGCTGAAAGAGCCACCAGTGGATTGGCTCGCAACCTGCACTGATTGAAAGTAATTCGGTCCAGAGGGCTGATAGCCTGTGGGCTTGGGAGAAGCGATGCTACCGAGCGGGGTCGACGCGCTGCCTGGTGGTGGAGACGCAGTCGAAAGGATGTTGCTGAAAGCCGCGTTCTGGCCGCTTGATTGCGGAGTCGGCTGCGCGTACTGTGTGGTGGTAGTCGGAGCGGCAGTAGAGAAAGAACTGTAGTTCGGTGCAGGAATGCTCGGCACAGTCTTCGCGGGTGCAGAGGGAGCAGCTGGAGTGGCAGATTGGAAGTCGTCGAAATCATCGTCATCGTCTGTTGGCTGAGCGGGCTGAGACGATGGTGGTGCCAGAACGGCCGCCGAGCTTGCTGCACCATTCGACGGCGCTGTGATTGTCGTGGCCGGCTCATCCCCGAAATCGAAGAGGTCGACCTCTGGTTCTTTGGGCTTCGGAGGGGCTGCTGCTTTCTTTGGTGCTGCTCGTTTCGCCGCGACATCGCCTTTCCGCCTGGCTGGTCGAGCCTGTGCGCCGCCATCGTCATACTCGTCGTACTCGTCGAACTTATCAGCACGTGTTCGGCCTGGACCTTCATCGTACTCTTCGGTGCTCGCTTCGCCACCGAAACCACCTCCATCGCCGTATACTGCTCTTGAGCTGCCGCCAAAAGTTGCGCTACCCCCTCCGTAACCAGCGCTTTCGCTGCCAAAGCCTCCATATCTGCCCGATGAGCTACTGAAGCCCATCCCAGCGCCTCCTTCGACGCCACCGTATTTGTTCTTTGTCTGTCGTGCCTTCTTCCTCTCTGTCCTGATCCTGTCCACATCGCTGAGTAGCTCCGTAAGCTCTTTGCTCCTGTTGCGCACGTTGATCCCCTGATCTTTGCCGTTCTGGTCGATGTAGTGAAATTGTCGGAGCATCTTCAGCAACGAGAGGTGGGAGCGAGCGTCGTCGATCACACGTTCCGAGCCATTTTTGATGAGGAACTCCATGAGTTGCAGCGCTTTGTAGATCTGTCTCCATTCCTCTGCCGACTTTTCTGTAAATCGTTTGTAAATCATAGGCATGATTTCGTTGAGCTGTTGGCTGCATCAAGGTCAGCTCCCCTTCGCTGTGTGTGCTGAAGCCAAGTGTTGCATACTAGTTGAAGGTGCCATTGGCAATTTCCTGCATCATGCTCGAGGATGCTCCCCAAGGCTCGTTGTTCGTCGCCTCTCGCACTTTGGCCTCCATCTCGGTGTAGTTCATGACAGCTACGGACCATTAGCGCACAGTCCTACCCGCCATCATGGCCAGCTGGCATACCATTTTGGACCTTGCGGACGCCCGCTTTGAGGTCGTAGAGCGTGAGATTGCTCGCCGCATCCTGCAGACTTTTGAGATCCATGGCGACGAGTCGCGCTGAGAGGTGTGTGGGAAAGAGTGAGCCTCCGAGATGCGTGGTATGGCGGGCGATGTTGCGCTGGCTATGTTCGGCGAATCACAAGAAATCGGCCGGCTTCAGGAGTTCGGCGGAGAAGAGACCGTGCGCGCCTTCGATCGCGAGCAACAGATGGAGAAGTCACTCTTCCCGTCTGGGTTTCATCAAAACATCAACTTCATTATCGAGGCACTTGTACTGTAAATTAGTCGTGTATCTGTTTCGCATTGCGCTCAGGTGAGTCGACTGGAAGGTTCCCTTTGATGGGACTGCGTGGTCTGCCGCATTCAATGCTGAATTGAGCGACAGAAAGTTTTTGTACCATCACCACGGCGAAAGTATCCTGTAAGTACAGCATCTCCCGGTCCACCCACACGCACTACCATCGCGCCGAAGAAACGCGCTGCGCCGCACCGCGTCCAAGAGCACGCCATTTGCGGTGCGGGTGCAGCAGGACGAGCTTCTGATGCGCCCAGCCATCCATTGACGTGTTCCGAGAGAGGATCTTCTTCGGAAAACGGGTCCTGACGGAGGCCTAAGGCACCGTTGGCGGGGTCGGTGTTTCCCTTGCTAATTGCCCCTCATAGTCGAGTAGAAAAGCTGCCTTCTCGAGAACCATGTTTTCTCGTGCTTCATCCACTACCGCCTTTGCCAAAGCACTGCCCACCTTCAGACTCCAACCAACTTCCAACCGATCCTTCCACGCTTCCGCCGCCATCATGGTTCAGACTTACTTCACCGTCGAGTGGACCGGCCGTCTTGTCACAATCGACAAGGCCAACAACCGTGTTGTTGTGGAACCTGAGGAGAAGCGTGAGTGATCCATTCCATCCCAATGCACACCATCACCAACTAAGTGCGGCGGCTACAGTTCGCAAGAAGACCATCAAGTTCAACCTGTTCGACAAGGACGTCCCAAAGACCGCTGAGAACTTCCGCCAACTCTGCACTGGCGAGAAGGGCGAGAACTTCGGCTACAAGGGCTCCAAGTTCCACCGTGTCATCCCACAATTCATGCTTCAGGGTGGTGACTTCACTCGTGGTAACGTATGTGCAGTCAATTGACTTCAATGGGCTGGGGCATGATGCTAAACAATGTCTACAGGGCACGGGCGGCAAGTCCATCTACGGAGAGAAGTTCGCCGATGAGAACTTCAAGCTCAGCCACACCAAGCCATTCCTGCTGTCCATGGCCAACGCCGGCCCAAACACGAACGGCTCGCAGTTCTTCATCACCACCGTCGTGACTAGCTGGCTCGATGGCCGTCACGTTGTCTTCGGCGAGGTTGTGCCAGGTGACGAGGAGTCCATCCAGGCCATCGCGTCTATCGAAGACCGCGGCTCCAGCTCTGGTGCCCTCAAGGGAGGCCAGCCAGTCACCATCGTCGACTGTGGTGAATTGTAGAGAAAGAGCAAGGAATGCATGTTACGATACGAGATCATCCTGGTGTGATAGCAAGTCGCGGCGGAGCACGTTAGCATCGAGAGATCGACTACAAGCCACGGCTCTCTGCCGAAGAGCTCAAAAGCAGATGCAATAACATGAACATACTTTCTCCAAGTTGGTCTTGCGCGTTCTGTGCGTATTCAGTCTGTGTCTTCCTGTCACTCGGTGACCCCCATACTGCCTCACATCGATGTCGCTCACATTCTTGACCAGCCTGCCCTCCAGATGGTTGTCAACGAGTGACGAGTTCCAGCAGATCCCCCAGCATGTTACGGTTCACGGCCGTCAAGTGGCCTCATTCCATACACGCTGAATCTGTTTTCCAGAGCATATAGCTGTATGCTCTCGTGCTGCCTTCGCCCAGTATGCAATCGATGTACTGGTGTCGTCGCTCAGCGACACAAACATTCGGAACTGATGATAGATCGAATGAGCGATAGCACCACGGGCTGCAGATCTATCGAGATTGCTGCAGTGATCGATGTAGCACGACACGGCTTGCGATGAAGTTCTCACAACGTAGCGTGGCTCAACACCCATTGACAAGCATCGTCGACACGCTGCAAAGAATTCGCGAAGTCTTGTCCATGAACGTATCCTTGCAACGATCAAGCCACGCGGCGGCCGCAAATGCTGCTCTTGCTGACACATTGGTCTTGTCCTATCCTGCCACGGAACACGCGGGCTCTGGAGATGCAGAACTAGAACTATGCCCAACGCGATTGGCCCACGCTAATAAGTATCGGCCTTGCCGACTTCAATTTTGGAAGATCTCAGCTATGTACCCGGTCTTCAAGCCTAACAGCGATGCCATCCAAGGTTTGTTCTCTTCGCAAATCTACCTCAAGCGGCATCTTCTGTGCGATTGTGGCGGGACTCTGCACGTGGCAGCATCGTGGCGCATTTCACATGGAAGATGGCAAGATGGCCCTTAATCCCCAGGCACGGTGAGAATAGCACAGCCCAGATGCGTGCATGCGGAGTTCTGGACGTTGAATGCTCCCTTGGCAAGGTGCAGAGGAATGATGTGCCGGGAAATCTGTGGTCGAGCAAGCTGAAGCGAGAGGGGTGGAGAAGAGAGAGACGAGCGATAGTGTTTCAGGGCTCGTGTCAACGGAAACTATAATTGGAACAGGGACAGCTGCATGGCCCTGCTGGCTGCTCTCGAATAGCCGCCGCAAGGACGATGAATGTGAACGAGCTGCTGGTCGGCCGCAGCGTGAACGGCAGGCAGGCCGCTGTCGATTACTCTTCGCATCGTACTTGGCCGCCCTCACCTGACATTCCACCTCCCGTCATCCACCACCAGCGCGGCTGAACGCTTGTGTGCAAGACATTGGTCCAGCGTTTCACCTTTGCGCAACCTGCGACGCAACAGTTCGTCGAGGCACGTGAGGCGCGACAATCAACCAAGCAGAGTGGGTGACACCGATCAGTGGGCTCGTCAGGGTCCTTGCTTGCTGGGATCGTGCGTGGAGCTTCATGCAAGACGCTTGGTATTGACACTGCGCGTGCCGATCGAAAAGCGCCTTTCCTTGCGCGCGAACTGCACATAGGCGTTGGTGCTGGACGCCATGGCCGAGGACGAGAGCAAGGCTTCCAAGGCGAGCAGGTTCCTGAAGAAGAGCAAATGGGGAAAGGTACTGAAGGAGCGGGAACCCAGCGAGGATGACCAACATGCGGCGCCCCACCAAGGCACCTTTACATTGAACAACGACGTGGTGGATTTCCTGAAGCCAAGCACAGAGAAGAGCAAGCCTAGGTTGGACATAGCGATTGCCAAGAGATGGCCAGAGGCACACCAGGTCAGAGCGATGGGGGAGGAGAGTCCGGTGCCAGATCGACCGACATTCACAAAGCCTAAGAGGAGGAAAGGGCTGACAGTGGGCTTTGCGAAGACACAACCCGAGATCATTGGCGAAGGCGGTGATGAGGCCCCAGATCCTCCTCGTGAAATTGGTAGGAGGAAGGCGGCAATGGCGAGATCAGTGTCAGATGCGAGACCGGGTCCGCGGTCTCCGCCGTTGACTCAAGGTGGGTTTGGGCATACTCGAGAACCTTCGCTGCCACATACCGCAGAGGAGGACTTTGTGCCGCCTCCGGTGCGCCGCGTCAACACGTCCCACAATGAGCTATCTGCGCCAATGTCACGAAAGTTCGCTTCGCCGCCGGCCGAAGATGTCCTCCCCCATCGCCCGAGCATTGGACGAGTACGTACAGGTTTCGACAATTTGGACATACAGCATACAACACCTCTGGAACCTCCAGTTACACCCCAAATTGCGTTGAGCGAACACTCAGACGACACACAGGCGAGACCGACTCAGCTGCCTCCACGCCAACCCCCTAGCTTGCTGGACACCCGGAACCATCTTATTGGCGCAATGAGTGACGATGCGACATCTCCCGTGGTCCAGAAACGACGAGAAATCAACCGGAATGAGGGAATGGCTTTCAGACGTGCGAGCATGTTAATCCATCGGAATAGCGAGGAAGATGACGAGGATGCCGCGAGTAGCAGTCCGAGACAATCGAAGGCTTCTTCGGCCACTACACAAGACATGCTGTTATCGCCATCGGACTATGGGCAATCGCCGCCGGAGAGTACCGTGTCGCCTGAAGCACCAAATCCATCTGCAGATCCTAAATATTTGAAACGAATCTCAGGAGAAGTCACACCCGCTCAGCCGCCACAGTCGCAGCCTCAAGTCCAGTCATTACGGCAAGACAGATCACAAAGGGAGTTCAATCGCACGCAAGCACCGCAGCCACCTCCCCGATCGCCTCTGCGCGGTGTGCCTCAGATCGCTCAGCCACGGCCTAGCCACTCTCGAGAATCATCGAGGGAGGAGAATCATCGACCAAGACAGACACAGCAGAGCAGCGTCGGGCCTGCACAATATTCGCCACAGCCAGGAATGAATGTTCCTTCCAGCCGCGCAGACGAAGGTTCGAGATCACCAGGACTTCGCGATCGGCTTTTCAATCCATCGTCCAGCACGCAGCACGCATCCGCGATGTTTTCCAAGCCGAACGCATCTTCATCCAGTATCAATCACTTCTCGCCTAGAAGTTCACAGTCGCGTCCTGGCTCAAGGGATGGAGATGCATCGCAATCCAAACAATCCATTGACGTTGGCGCTCAACGATCACAATCACCTCGCTCTAACAATGGCCCTCCGAGTGGTGGTAGCCCGAGAGCTTCTCTTCTGGGACCAGGAAGGACAGGCCCCTCACCTGGGCCATCCCCTTTGCATCGGCCACATGACTACTTTGCTGCTCCCACGATCCCTCCAACCTCTAAGTCGCCGGCTGCAGTTCTGCGGCAGGAAGAAAACTCGCGACCAGCTTCAGCTGGCTCAGCACATTCACTTGGGCGACCTTCAGCTTCATCGCAAGCCTCTTCAGAAAACAACCTAGCTGCAGAAGCTGCTTTCGCTGATTTCGCGGCTCGCGTCGCGCACATGAAAGGTGTCTTTCGTCTGACGGCGGAGAAAGAGTTGTCTGCTGATCGATGCACGCCATCGATGTGGCTCAGAGGTGCATTGTGGTGGTATCATACAGGCAAGACTGGATTGGAGGCACTTTTCGCGAGAAAAGATCCCAACGACCATCGCGAGCTTCTGACACAACCCCACGTGGACCTTGCCAAAGCATGGTGGATCGCGACCGATCCATTGGAGATTTACGATTCCCCGGATGCGGACGAGCGTGCGAGTGAGGCCGAATCGCGCATTGTCCGACGAGGATTGGCTGCTTTGAAGAACTCGCTGAAGTCCTTATCACTCTCGATAGCGAAGAATCACCTGCTGCCACCAGAAGCTTCGCTCATCCAAGGGCAGAACACGAGAATCTGGGTCGACTATCCGCGCTTCACGTCGGATGCAGCTGCAGTACTGGGTGGTAGTGTCAGCAAATCCGTCATTATCGTAGAGCCCAAGCACGCTATCGATCCTTACGAGCTTCTGCCTCTTAATGATACCAGAGAATTCTTCTGGTATGGTCGCTTTCCAGTCGAGGTATACCTGAATACCGAAGACTTGGAGACCGATCGGGTTGTGTTGCCGTGCTTGCTCACAGTGTTGCGAGGGAAACAGGACTATCAGACCAGTATCGTTATTGCTAGCCAGAATGACCTTGTGAACATCAAGATCTTGCCCAGACAGGATACCAAGCGAGTCCTCACATGGTCTGATGTCTCCTGGCAAGCGAGCTCTTTCGGCATTTCGATTCACCTGCCAAGGAACTTTGATCTGAGTGTACGCATGCAAGAACGCGATTTTCGTGCACTGTGGAATCTGTCAGAGTACGCGCGAAAAGTGGAAAAGACACTTCGTCCGGAAGCGGATGAAAAGATGGTGCACGAATCACGGCTTGTGGAATTGCAGTATGTGGACTCCTCGAACTCCAGCTCCTTTCCCACGGAGAAGATCAGAGGTTGCTCAGTCTTTATCTTCGAACACCTGGCCAAGCATGTGGATGGGAGCGGTGCGCGCAGAGTGCATCGCGGATTCCGTATGTTGCTCATCACCGAGCCTGGGCACAAAACACTCAGCGCAGTCAGTCACGAGATCTGCAAAGACTCTCCGTTCTTCTTCGAGATGCTTACCGATTCAGCTGCTGGCGGCACCACTGCCATGGTCGTTCGCATTCGTGAAGCCAAAAGGCAGTGCAGAATGCTATTCGTGTTCCCAGATGCGGGGACGAGGCAAGCGCTCTACGATGTCATCAACGGGCTAGCAGTCGGCCCTGACGAAGATATCGTGGGAAAGATGTCACTAGCCAGTCTGAACATCGAGCCTGCATCGCAGTCGTTGAGCTTCGCTCAATCGGCGCATCCGGCCTTACAGAATCTGCAATGGCAGAAGCTGGGCATCACGAACGGGGTGCCTGACGATGACAGCGGCCGCCCACCTACGACGGTACAGTCTGAAAGCCTACGTATTCTGGCCAGACATGCTACCGGCTGCATTACCGATCGTCTGAACCTGGGCAAAGGCGAGCTTCTGCTACGATTTCCACCTGTTGATTCTCCAAGCGTGCAGATTTTGCGTGAACCCCAGGAAGATATGACTATGTCGATTGACACCAGACACTCACATCCCACAGTTGCAAACGGTATCGCAGAGCTGCTGAAGTTAGCACGCGAACAACAGACGATTAGGACCTTCACGTTCCAGACTCCCGACGACCTTCATGCCTTCGAATATGCCATCACTGGATGCACTGTACGCTTTGACGGCATCGCTGCGACCTTGGACATCTCGAGACGGCGAATGGTCGTCCCCATCTACAAGAAATGGCAGGCCCAAAATGTGCGCATCCAAATCGTGTCACAAGGACAGATCGTGCAACTCATTGCTTTCATGGAAGAGTTCAGCCACGCGGACGCTTTATGTTTCCAGATCAAATCAACAGATGTCTTTGAGAATCACAAGGGTGATAACAAAGGCAAGAAGTGGACGGTGAAATTGGTCGATGCCAAATTTACCCTGCCAAATCGCGAGAAAGGCAAGGAGGAGCCGGAGGAGGTGCACCGGAAGAGCCGCTTTGTCAACTTGGAGAACCTTGAGTATGCGGAGGAGCACGATGACATTACCATTGGATTCGAGACCGAGCAAGGTAAGTAATCAGGCCAGCAGAATGGCATTGTGAAATACTGGCAAATCGGTGTAACACGTATACTGACTGACCGCTTTTCAGATCGCGATCGTTTCGCGCAAGCTCTTCCAGCCGCACCCAGCATTTCTCGAGGAATCACACTCAAGCGACGCATATAGTTCGACTGCTCGATGCTACGAATTTATCAAATTTCTGGCCCTGGCTGTCGCCATGGCACTTTGCGGCGAATATTGCCTCCAGCAATCCATAGCGCGCAGGACACCGCGTAGTAAGCGGGGCGCGCGCCCTATCGTCGACCCTGGTGGGGCACGGCATTGAAAGCTTGGAATGACGCGAGCGACGCCATGTGCCGGGCGGGCGAGCACATTGATTACTCTTCAACGACTCTCTTAAGATACCCTCAACTGTCGTTCACCAGTCGTACAGACCACCATCGCTTTCTTCGTACACTCACCAGATCTACTCACAATGGCAGAACCCACTAATGGTCAACCCAACCAGCCACCACGGCGCATCCCCCAACCGGGAGACTACGAGAACCTCAGTCTCGCAACCAAAGGCATCCACGCCGACGACCCCATCAACTACAACATCGATGTCGCTCCTCCCCTCCACGTCTCCACCACCTACCGCTACAATTCCGACCCCACAAAACTGACCCCCGTCAGCGACCTCGACCTCGTCAACCTCCACCCTCCCGGTGGCCCCATGCTCGGTGATGGCCACATCTACTCCCGCCTCACAGCACCCAATACCTCCCGCCTCGAACTCATGCTCACCAGCATCATCGGCCAACCTGTCATCACCTACTCCTCCGGCCTCTCAGCTTTCCACGCCTTACTCACATACCTCCACCCCAAAGTCGTAGCAATCGGCGACGGCTACCATGGTTGTCATGGTGTGCTTGGAATCTACCAAAAACTCACCGGATGCAAAATCGTCAATTTATTCGATGAGAAGAGCTGGGATGATGCCGGTTTGGGAAAAGGAGATGTCATACATCTGGAAACTCCAGTGAATCCTACGGGAATCGCATTCAATATTGAAGCTTTTTCACAAGCGGCGAAGAAGAGAGGTGCAGTTTTGACGATTGATGCTACTTTTGCTCCTCCGCCTCTACTCGATCCGTTCAAGTTCGGAGCGGATTATGTGATGCATTCGGGGACGAAGTATTTTGGCGGACATTCTGATATGTTGTGTGGGGTTATTGCGATTGGACGAGAAAGAGATGGGTGGGAGAAGGATTATTGGGGGATGTATGGGGAGAGGATATTTTTGGGAAGTGTGATGGGATCTTTGGAGGGATGGTTGGGTGTGAGGTCTCTTAGGACTTTGGAGTTGAGGGTGTTGAGACAGAGTTCTAATGCGGAGAAACTCGCGGGGTTTTTGAATGGGGCTGTTCAAGGGACGGAGACTGGTGCAGGAACGGAGGTGATTAAGAAGATTGTGGATAAGGTCGAACATGCGAGTTTGCAGAAGAGTGATATGGAGTGGTTGAAGAGGCAGATGCCGAATGGGTTTGGGCCTGTGTTTTCGATTTGGTTGAAGAGTGAGAAGGCTGCGAGGTATTTGCCTAGTAAATTGAGGTTGTTCCATCATGCGACTAGTTTGGGTGGTGTGGAGAGTTTGATTGAGTGGAGGAAGATGAGTGATCCCGGGGTCGAGGGGACTTTGTTGAGGGTTAGTGTGGGTGTGGAGAATTGGGAGGATTTGAGGGAGGATTTTGTGAGAGGGTTTCAGGAGTTGGATGGGGAGAATCTGGGATAGATTGAGCTGTTCCCGAGACTGTGGGATGCAGATGATGACACCAGAGACTGGGTTGATAGAGGTAGATAGATTGGAATGAGAGAGAGAAAGGAAGGAAAGGCAGAGCTGCCAGATGAATCCTCGATCACATATTCCATCAGATCGTCTCGTCTTCATTTCAGACTATACTTTCGCCCATGCACAGCACGCATGTACAGTACCAATCATGCGATCAGCACTTTTCTCACGACTCCATATAAGTAATAGTCTTAATCTTCACAAACTCCTCCAGACCCCACTGCGCATTGAATCTCCCCCAACCACTCTTCTTCACACCACCATGCGGCAAATTCGCCTCGTCATGAATACTCATCGAATTAATATGAATCGCTCCCGAATCAATCTCCTTGGCAATTTTGAGTCCTCGTCCCAGACTTTCTGTGAAGATCGCGCCAGAGAGACCATATTCAGTATCGTTTGCGATATCAATTGCTTCCTCGTCAGAGTCGACGGCGATGAGAGATAAGGTGGGACCGAACGATTCGGTATAGAAAATATCCATGTCTTTTGTTACGTCGGAGACGATGAGGGGGCGAACACGATATGCGGAATCTTCTTTCGCAGAGACATCGCCGTAGAGGACTTTTGCGCCTTTGGAGACGGCGTCTTCTCTCAGCTTAATGTTCTTCTGAACGCCGGGTTTGGCGATTAGGACTGGAGCGTCCGCAGTTGGGGCGTAGACTTTTTCTGTGGCGGCTTTGAGTGCTTCGCCGAATTTGTCGAGAATACTGCGATGGACGAGGACACGCTCGGTAGCCATGCAGACTTGACCGGCGTGGAGGAAAGAGCCGAGGGCGACTTGCATGGCTGCGTTGTCGATGTTGGCATCTTGGGCGACGTAGGCGCTTGCTTTGCCGCCGAGTTCCATGAGGACGGGTTTGAGTTCTTTGCCGGCTTTGGAGGCGATGATGCTGCCGACTGCGGTGGAGCCAGTGAAGTTGACTTTTTTGATTGATGGGTTTTCGATGAGGGCATTTGTTACGTCGACAGCGTCTTGAGGGCGGTGGTAGATGATGTTGAGGACTCCATCGGGAAGACCGGCTTCTTTGAAGACGGAGCCAATGGCCCAGAATGTACGAGGACTCAATTCGGAGCCTTTGAAGACGGCGGTGTTGCCTGCTGCGATGGCGAACAAGAACGCTCGCGTGCCGAGAATGTATGGTGCGTTCCATGGTGCTATGCCCAAGATCACGCCGTAAGGCTCCTTGAATAGAAAAGCTGCTTGGCCAGGTGTCTTCGTCTGAGGGATGACTCCATTGACAGACGAAGCAAGACCAGCTACAGAGCGGATGTAATCGACTGTTGTCACGAGGTTGAACTGGCAAAAGCCCTCGAGAGCTCCAGTTTCCTCTTTCATGTACGATGCGAGCTCCTCACTCCGCGCTTCCATGATATCGGCAGCCTTGAGCAGGATCTTCTGGATATCGCCGCCTTTGGTCTTGCGCCATGACTTTGAAGCTTTTTGTGCAGCTTCGCATGCTTGTGCAGCTTCCTTGACCGAAGCTGATGATGAGCTCCATAGCTTCTTGCTGTCATTCGGGCTCTCGACATCGAAAGTCGTGCTGGTCGTCGCTTCCTTTCCATCGATCCAGAGCGGCACAGGGCCTGAGAAAGATCCATTCGTTTGACCCGGCATCTTGTTCGCGTTTCTGTAGTGAGTGATGGTGGCGTGAAGTTCAAAAAAGCTGTAAGCTGCGTCAAATCAATATATGTGGGCCGGAGCGTTGGTGGAGCAATGCAATATGCAGGTCCGTGACGCTTATGTATGTGCTACTTGAATCGCGCGTGTGTGACACCAGTCGTGATGATTGCTGAACTCCTCGCGATGAGGTATAACAAGCTCTACTTAGCATTATATCATACCTGACGTGCCCATGTTATAGCTTCCAGACCTCAGTTGTCTGCAGGTGCATTCAGTAATCACACAGCCTGAACCCAGCTCGCGCAACTGCCGACTTCACGGCACGGTGTGCCGCCGCATGGGCGGACCTGCCGACTGACGACTCAGGGAGCGAACATGTCCAGATCCAGTCATCGTTGGCGGAGGTGGAGAAGATTGAGGGGCACGACTGTCAGCATGCGGGCCAATTTCTCGGGAGATGATGTTGTTCTTGGCGTTCAGCATGCTCGTGGGGTTTCGCCGAACTTCTCGGCTTCAGCGGAGAAAGATGTCACCAACATCGTCACTTTCTATGCTTCATGACATGTCACACATCATTGAAGAGGCATGTCGAAGAGGCGCCGGTGCTTTACGAAGATTGCCCGATCTCAAGTCTTTCACATGACAATAGAAGCGAAATGCAGAGCAATGGAAGTAGGCCATCTGTAGTCTGCCAGTCTACGAGGTAAACAATCGGCAGTATTTGGAAAACGAAGGTAATCCAATACCATAGTTTGCAAATGACTTTTATTAGGTCCAAGTGGAGTGCAAAATCATCAAAGCAAAGCTCCTCTAACCATATCATCAATCCTCATTCCTCATAACTCATAGAAAGCCATCACTCATAAGGCATCATACTGCTTCAACCCACCCGTCCGCCTTTCTCCTCCTCCTCTCCTCGACCCAGAACTTCAACTTATCCCGAATCAAAGCACGAGGTTCGTCCTATGAACCACGTCTAAGTCCCGTCTCGTCCGGATATCTTCTCCCACTGACACCAGTATCCGCGAAACGAGTCTGCTTCGGCCTACTGTGTCTGCGATCATCTTCGTAGTCATCCTCAGGAGGGGGCGGAGGGATATTGCCGCGACTGCTACGCCTATCGCGAGGATCCCGATCACGAGGGTCGCGTGGAGGTGGGAAATCTCGTGGGTCGCGCGATGGTGGTCTGCGGTCGTCTGGAGGAGGATAGCCACGATCTCGGGGGTCTCTTGGGGGAGGTGGAGTGAAGTCACCAGGTGGGTAGCGAGGATCACGCGGATCTCGGGGATCGCGTCCAGGTGGCGGTCCATGTGGATACCCATTTGGTGGCGGAGGTCGTGCATCATATGGCCCTGAAGGCTCATCATAACGTCGGGGTCTATCATATCCTCTGTCGTCACGTCCAGGACTACGGCTTGCGTACCTATCATGCATTCTTCGCGAAGGATGCCTCGCGGGAGGACCTCCATCGTATTCTGGCCCAGGTGGCGGCGGCATCCCTCCTGGCGGGCCTCGATGCGGCATAGCTCGCGGGTGCGGAGGTGCGGGCGGCGGCGGGTGCTTAGAGACCGTGGCAGCGAACAGAGGGGATGCTGAAGGAGCGAATGAAGGTCCAAACTCATTGTACTGCACCGGTGGTGTGTTAGGTCTGTCGTGGACCGAGCTTCTTCTGCCTGAAGGTGGAGGCTCATCAGGGTTGGCTCCTGCGAAGTAGTCATCCCCTTCTCGTTGACTCGGCGTCGGCTCATGGCTTTTCGAGTGTCGCAGAGGCTGGTCACGATCGCTAAGGCGTGCGTCGGATGGTCCACGATGATGTCGATGTCTGCTCGAATTGGAGCCAGTTGGAGGGCTGTAGACCGGGCTTGCCTCGCTCTCTTCCATCTCATCATCAGCCAACGCTCCGGCTGCAGCTCTATCGACCTGCTGGGAGGCTCTTCGTCTGTGGCGACTGCTGCGACTGTGGCTGTGGCTGGAGTGTGCTCGCGGCTCATAGCGTTCATCGTAGGGTTCTGGCGACAACGGATCGTCTGCCGCATGTCTGCCATCGGGATGACTTCTCCTGCGTTCGTGGTGGTCATGGTGGTCATGGTGGTCTCGAGAGTGGCTCCTACTGTGTCTTCCTTCGCCAGCCCACAGATGTGGACTACCCACACCACGCGCGATGCGTCCAAAAGAGGCTGCTGCAGCCTTACCCTTGTCTATCATTGTCGCCCGTGGACTCAATCCAGGTCGTTTAGAATTCTTCCGCACGATGGAGGGTCGCCCATCCACGTGCCTATACAGTGGATTGCGGAAATATGCCAAAGCAGGACCTCGAGAATCGACAGAAGCGCCATCGTCTTCACTCAACACCTCTCCTTCCGGTCGTGGTGGGCCATGCGGTGGTCCATGTGGTCGATCGCGTACTCTTCGAGGCGGTGGCTGATCCAGATCATGCTCCACCTCGATCTGCTTGTGCCGCTCCTCCTCTTCAGCCTCTCGTCGCAGTCGTTCCGACACGCCTTCGTACCAGGCCACCATGTGCTTGTCGGGATCCAACGGGAAGCACTCGCGAGGCAATATCTTTGGAAAAATAGCTCCAGTATCATGATCCCTCACATCCCATTTCGCGACAGCTTCACGCAGGAAGCTCGAATGCTCTTCTGGGCCGAGCAGAAGCTGAATGGTCTGCCACATGATCCATCCCTCCGTCTTGAGCGCGGGCACGGTAGGGTCGGTGAAGGCGGTCTGGTGGGTGTGGTGTAGCGGCTGTAAGCTGTGCAAACAGCCCAGACTCTTGTAGATGAAGGCGATGCTCTCGCTGGGCGTGCCGAGGAACAACTGATCATAATTTCCATGTAAGTCGCGATAGAAATGCGCGAGCTGGTTAGGCGTCAAGTCTGGATTGTCCGATGGCTCATACTGCTCGTTCTGGTATAGACGTCAGTTTGTGCGCAGACTAATCAGTGCTGCGCGCGTGCTTACTATGAGATCTTTCAGTCCTCGCAACAGTGCCTTCAGCTTGTCGGTGCCGGTCTTGTCAGGCTTGAAGAGATAGCCCCAATACTCATACGCCTCGCGCTGCTCCACATCCTTCTCATGCTCATCTGCCTTCTCTTGTTGCGCTTCTTCTCGCGCAGTCGGGTCCGTAGGCAGCGTTGAGTCGCCCATGATCTGGTCCTGAATCGCGGACTTTCAATACGTCTTCAGCTGGTCGTTGCCAGACGTTGCAATCAGCCGCGACGAGTGGGATCAATGGTAGCTGAAGTGGAGGGCCACATGTATTTCGAGGAAGCGATCGGCGGTGGGCGGCGGAACGACAGAAGGAGAGCTGTTTGGTGTTCGAGGCAATCCTTGCCGGCGTGCTGCACGGTGATGTGATGTTTGGTGATATCGTGACTGTCGCACGCACTGTCGTGGCTCGGATTTGTGGTACGCTATGAGATCAGGAGACCACGTCGCACCGTGAGGCAGTTGTTTTCAGCCTCTGCTGCACAGGACATGCAATAAGAAGAGTTCGCCAGGCCGCAACAAGAGGCGCGAAAGCGAAAGCGCATGACGGCCCAGCGCTGGTGGTTGCCTACGTCATCCCTCGCCAGCACTTTGAGACATGCATGTAAATGTAGAGCTATCGATAAGGACTCATATTCAATATAATAATTAACTGTCTTGATCATGCTACTCCGCTCTATTAATGCAGTAGAACGACGTTGAGGAATTTGTACACGAATGAGATCGATTCGAACGTGTTTTGGAGCAAATTTGAAAAATCGAGCAGAAACCAGTCGGATTAAACCTTCCAAATGACCTGATCGAACCAAGAACTTGATCAAGCAAAAGTTCAGGCATCGAACTTCTACCTACGACTGAAGACATCCCCGTCTACTGAGCCCAATACGTTCCCACATTGTCAAACGTTGCCCAACCCGCCTTCGAGAAGTCCACATTACCAACATTGTAGCAAATCTGCTTTCCCCAATCGTACACAAACTTCTTGCAGCTCGACACGCTCTGACACTTCTGCGCGCAAACATACTCGCCCGAGACGTTCTTCCAAATATTCAGAACCTGCGCATTATTCAAATGACTGCTTGGGCAAACCGTATACGTGACACCATTCTGCTTGATCGTATACAATGGTGCGAGGCAAGAAGATCCCATGGGTGTATCAGCAGGAACACGATCGACGGTTTGGAAACCTGCATTCTTCTGCCAGTTGGAGTCTGCGACACTGGGACTGCCTTTGAGGTAACAAGTCTGAGTACCAAGATTAAAGACTGCTTTGGTGCAGCCTTGTTGCTTGGAGCACTCGTTGGCGCAAGCACGGTTGTCGACGTCGCCGTAGGTGATTTGTGGGCTAGGGATTTGGTAGTCGGTGTCGAGGCAGATTCTGTAGAGAATGAAGTTGGCTCCGACGATGTATTGCGATGGTGTTGGGCAAGTGGTCAGGGGTCCATTGGATGGAGGCTGAGGCTGATTGCCGCCTGTCTGTGGGCAGGTGAACGTGCCAGGGTCGCTGTAGCTCCACGAATAAGCGTTTTGGATCGTGTAGGTATCGCTGCCAGATGTGTAACCGGTGTTGGTAGCGTAGGAAGAGTCCCAGGTTCGCGAATAGAGGGCGCAGATCTGGTTCTGAACCACGCCATTCTTCAAAAGCTGGTAGCTGGTGAAAAAGTGGCATGTGAGGCCATTGTAATGATCAGGGTTCTCAGCTCGCTGCGCGTCGCAGTCAGCGGCACAGAGCGAAGGGTCGTAGTTGTCGGCAGGATGGGACTTATAGGTAATGTAGCTGCCACAGTCCGTTGGAGCATTGATGGTGGCCTGATTGGTATAGGTTGAATTGTAGTTGGGGATCGAATATGTTCGGCGAGCAAGAGTCCCGGCCGAGGCTCCTGCAGCGAGCAGGGCAGTGAAGCTGAGGGAGTAATGCATTGTGGGAATGTTTTGTTCCAAGTGGTACAAGATGAGGTGTCGAGGGAAGGATGATGGGAGACTGCTTCGTTGTCGCTGAAGACACCCTCATATATAGCACTGCAAGCTTGAATTCTTTCGGACCCGTTAGTTCTTACTACTCTTACCATCTTTTACGGACGCGTGGCGTGGCGTTGATAGAGCCATCGGACTGATTCAGTGACTTTCGACGAGGACAGCTAGAAGCACTGCTGGCTCGTATCCGTCGTGTGCAGGCATCTTGTTAGCTGTGATGCTTAGCAGAACGCAAGAAGGTTCACCATCTGGACCACCAAGCCAGGGGAGGCTACGGCTGGCTACCATTGAGAAGCGTGCTAGAAATATGGTAAAAGTCCTCTGCCGAATGGTTCACACACCTGCCGTTCGAATTGGCTTTGGCACTTGGGTCTTAGTCGTGGTTATGGCTGATTTGTGTTTACCTCGCACTACAGTGTCTGCTAACAGCACACCTCGTATGCATGGGACATCTCACACCCATCGTCTCTTGCCTCGTTGCTGACGATAAATTGAGTCGATCGTGCAGCGTAAGCGGAGAGCTATAGGCAGAGTGAATATGATCGAAGCTACAACCTTTACTAGAGTTCTGTCAGCTTGCAAGAGTTCGACTCCACGCGACAACGTGGCAGCGCGCGGACGAAGCGTGCTCTCGCAGAACTTTTGGCACTTCCCGGCAGCGTGCCAATCTTCATATCCATCGCTGCAAATGTGGCGCAATCGTGCACGCTATCCCGGCTCTTCGGCAGTCCTCAATTTGGTGCACGATAGATGTGGCTTGCTCTGGCGTACCCAATTCGTATGTCCAAACTTTCACGACCATTGAAGAAAGTCGCCGAACACGACTGTAGGGAGCCTCATCGGGCGGCTTCTGAATAAAATTCAGCGATGGCGGTGCTCGTAGCTTGGAGCAAATTCATCAGACGGCTCCGGAGACATTTTATGCATGAGCCAGTGCCTCATTCACATGTCTGAATGTTCAGCGCAAGGCTCTGAGTGCCACCCACTTACGATGTCACGCGTCAATTGCCGGGCACTCCGTAGTGCTTGCAATCGTGTAGAGGTTCTTCGTCGCTGCGCAGAGAAAACGGCGTCAAACTCCCGCTCGAACTTGGCGAAATGCGCAGGCTTCTCGAGCCTCTAGGCATGATTCTCCACGACAGCGTAGCACTCTGTCTTCTGATGCTTCTGCCATGATCACGAGAGCGACGTCGTGGTGGTATCTTGATGCGTGGTGATGAACCATAATGCAGGAAAAGGAAGTGGAAGGAGAATTATGCGGAGGGCGTGCAAGAGGGTTAGGGTTGGAGGTTGGAGAAGAGGCAGCCACGACTATGAAGCCGAATGGCCGCATCTCGTCAGCGACCATAACCTGGGTGTGAAAGACAATTTGCTGCAAGACGCACTTTTCTTCGTCTCCAATGATTGACCTACAGATGTGGCTGTGTGTAAGTACATACAAGTACAGTGGCATGTGCAGCTTTTGTGGCCTACGTCATCGCACATCAGTCTCCAACGCAAGAGCATATGCAATCGGCAGAACCAACGTCAGGCAATGGGTGAAGAGAAAGAGAATACGCGGAAGAGAGAACCAATGTCGAACCATATTAACATCTTCATTCCATTGTCGTAGCTGGGAGTAAGCCTCCGGTAGTAGTATCTCATGCAAAAAACCGCTTGCTGGTCGTCAGATCTACTGACTGACCTTTTCTGACGCTCTAATCACACACACTCATGCCGCATCTATGTCTTTGATTGAAGTCCCGAGATCCCATGTTCCGTGACGCCAGTACAATCAACCAGCACCATGCAACTGACATCGCGCTATTGAGGCGAAGAACCAGTCTAGTGCTCCAGCAGCCTCAAGCTACCCTGCACGACCACGTTCTCGAGCACCGATCCAGGTGGAATGTCGATGGTGCTGCCCTCGGTGGCCACAATGATGACGGTACCCTTGAGCACCACACCGCGGCCGAGGTTGACGGCACCAGTGATGGTAAGGTGGTCGAGCTCGAGAATCTTGGGGATCGACGGGATGCGGGACTGGAAGTTGGAGACCTTCTTGAAGTCGCCACCAAGCTTGATGAGTGGTGCGGGACCGAATCTGTTAGGATCCATCACCAGCTGACCGTGCTTCAGCGTGTAGAGATCGGACTTGACGAGCATCAAATCGGAGCATGTCTTGACTGGCAAGAAGCGGCGACGCGGCACGTTGACACCGTGAGCGTTGTGGAAGTGCTTGATGGCAGCACCAACAGCGGTCTCGAGCTGGATGATGCTAACATCCGCCTCGCCCTTGTTGTCCGCTGGAATGCTCTTGCCGTTGGGGATGATCTCCATGGCGAGCTCATTGTTCTCCACCACGCGCTTGACGGCACGCAGGTTCATCCAGATGTTGTTGGTGTTGAAGTACTTGAACTTCTTGATGCTCTTGAACTCGTTGACGTATTGCTTTGGCACTTGAGCAATTTCGAGCAAACGAGCCTGGCCCTCGTAGTCAATGATGGTACCACCCTTGACATCGGCCTTGGTCTTGTCCGTCAACTCCATAATGTACTCTGCTTTTGACTCCACCATGTGCTGCAGGATGTTCAGATCGACGACGGCGCCGAGGTTGTCTGCGTTGGACAAGAAAAGGATCTCGACACCGCGCTCGAGGAGCTTGTCGAGGATGCCGGAGTTATAGAGCGATTCGAAAACGTCACCGTGTCCTGGTGGGTACCAGTCGGCGATCTTCGAACCGGCGGACTTGGGGGCAGGGAGGAGCGAGTCCTTGAGGATACGTGGGTATCGCGATTGATTGAAGGTCATGATGTCGATGTTGTGGCCCTCGTACTTCTTGATGATGGAAGCGGTGTCGGAATCGGTGTTGAAGGAGTTCATCAGCACGAATGGGACGTTGACGTCGTATGTGCGGTTGAGGTATTCGATCTGGCGGACAGACAGGTCGAGGAAGGACATGCCCTCACGGACCTCGATGACAGACTTGGGACCAACACAGCCCATGGAGGTACCGAGACCACCATTGAGCTTGAGGACGGCAAGCTTGTTCAGGAACTCGACAGATTCGGAGTTGCCCAAGCTGTTGTAGTCAACGACCTGCTCTGGCTTTGGTGGAGCAATGCGGTTCCAGTCGATCTCGTTGCCCTTGGCCTTGTCGTTCAAGTAGCGGCGGAAGAGAGCGAAGAAGTTGTCCATCTCGGTCTCGAATCGCTTTGCGTTTGTCAGTCCCGTCTCCTCAACTGTTTTGTACGCTTGGGTTGTACTGACCTTCTTCTCCTTTGGGTCGGTGACACCGTCTGCCAAGTTGTTGAGGGCATTGCGCATCTGGGATGCAGCAACGGATGTGGAGGTGTTCTCGAAAGCCTGATCGAAACCCATTGTCAGCTTCTCATATATCTCTTTTGCAAGCGTGCTCGCCATCTTGTAGTGCGGTATCGTCTGTTCTACGGAAGATGGTGTCGAAATCGATGCAGTGACATCTTAGGCCAGGCACGGGTGCCGAGTCCAATGAAGAGGTTGAAGTGAACGTAGTCGGAGGTGGGCTTGTGCTGGTGCAAGTGAAGCAGTGTCGAAAGCTGCTCCAGCTTGCGCAGTCGTGGGTCCACAGAGAGTGGCTTTCCTGGCCCGATTCACCATCGACGTTCCAATGATGTGTCGCTTAGAGTGAACTGTGTTGAGAGAGCCTTTGCGTTGCCGAATGCTTGCCACGCCGTCAAGCTCTCCATTGTCGCCGCTCCTGCTGTCTGATGCTCACCGCCAGAAGCAAGTTTGGCACCAGACTATTTTGCCAGGTGGAATCCTATGCCGGCGCTGGCATTCCAGCTCACGCAGAAGTGATGCTGCTGCCAACCTGCTCTCGCCACCGCCGCCGCCGCCGTGTACGCAGTAACAAAACAGAGAAGAACTTACCACGTGGGATTGAGACTTGCCGTGGTGACGGCCCTCGGCCTCGCCATTGCCTGGCTTCAGGCGCGATGGCAGTGCGTCCTTGATGACGGAGGCCATGTCTGCGGTTTGTGTGTTGATGAAAGAGTGGTGGATGTCTGTTGGGCGAAGCGGTCAGTGTCAATGTTAGGCGAGCAAAAAGTTTGGCCGCGTTGAAACAGGCAGCTCTGGGCAAGAACTCACCCCGCAGTGATGAGGTCAGAATTCCCTCACTTGTCGAAGTCGAAGTAAGAGGGACAGGCAAGAGAGAAGGAGGATGGAAGAGAGCAGGGCGAGGGCGAGGAGCGGTGGTAGTCTTGGGATTATTTATCGTTGCCCAGAGCACCAGGAAGCTGCTGCCCCACCATCGCTGCACCTGCACCTGCCTCGACTCTGCAGGGTTCGCAGTCATTGGCCGCTAGGAACGCTCTGTCCTCAACGATACGGCGAGATTGCCTCAAAGACCGCCCGTCACGGTAACTCGCAGGCAGAGCTGTTCCCCATCAATGTCATGCTGCAGCCGCTACACACCTCTCTTCCCGACGCACAGCTGCAAATAGACGCGTCCAGCTGTCTTGGTCCTCGCCACTCTGCCTTCGCCGCGAGTACTGCCGAGAAACCGACCAGCACAAAGCACAATGGCACGATCAAGCGATGGTGACAATCTCGTGCCTATCACGGCCAGCTGCCAACCCACCCGAGCAGTATATGCGCGACGATCGCTCGTTGCGAATCGGAGCCCATGCCTGATGAACAACATGGCGGCGAAGAGCGTGCACTGTGTCCTCACACCGACTCTTGTCGCTTTCTCATCGCGACAGCATCATGCCTGGCCGAAATGTCTCAATTGACTTTCGGCACGCCTCGCCACTCCACGCTCTCCGCCTTCGACGGCGAGAGCCTCATCGCGATGCTACAGAATTTTCACCCCTCCAGATGCACCCCAGAGTCTGCTAAGACAAGACGCCGAGAGCGGTCCCCAACCAATCTCCCACGCCTTCTGCTGCTGGTGTTGTTCTGAAAATCGGCATCTCACGGCACATCCTTCCTCCTCAAATTTCTCGGCGGGAGCAGACGGCCGCGTCGATCCTCAACTGACCTGCAGGTCCGGCCGGCTGCCCAGTCGACGCCACCAAGGTTCTAACGTTTCCACGTGCACCATTGTAAGGACGACGACCATGTTGGACGTGTCGGCGGTGTGCGCCGCTGGCACATTTTGCATATACAGTAATCTTCCCGGCCTACAAATGGATCGCGCACCCAGCGGATCGTGCTCGCGAGCCATACTGCTGCACACACGCTCCTGCATGCACCCATCAGACTCGTGGGCACCATGATATGAACGACGTACTATCGCCAGGCTCGGCAAGCACGCGCGTCCAACCTCACCATCTTCACATTTTTGACACGTACCTGCATGCCCAACTCAACCGCGCACAGGGAAAACTTTTGCTTAATATATCTTCAATCCCAATCCGGGCGGTGGAGTCTCCGCAAGCATCAGCCTCATCGATATCGTCTCGACAACAACAAGCTCGAAAGCAAGCCTTGTATCCACCGCATATATCAAATGCGGCAACGGATGACAGCATCTCCACCGCCCCTACTGCATCGAGGCTTGAGCACAGACAGAATGGTTTGGTGGGTCACTACGACTAGCAGCGGGCCTCGACGGAGCACGCTCCGCGTTACTTTGAAAAAATGCGTTGTCTCATTGCACAAGGAACATCGTCCCTTTGAGCAATGAGGAATCTGCTTCAAGGATCCTTCAATTTTCGCAGCCCTACGTCCACTTCACAGCCCTGCCGTCTGCCTCCAAGCCTCAACCTGAGTATGGCTTCACAACGCTCAATCCCGCCAGAGTCACAGAAAGTGCATCATGCGAGGATACGCTACTCTGCGCCGCCTGTTCAGTAGGCACAGTTCTCACAATCTCAATGATCGGGGCATCCGCAAAAGCAATTGCCCTCGGCTTCTCGATCCGCAGCCGGAATCTTGAACCTGGCGATAGAGCCTGCGGCTGTTTCCGCAGAAGCTGAGCGTACACATATTCGACCAGCGTCTCCAACGTCTCGTACGCGGTTTCCTGCACGATCTGTTGAATTGTCAGCCAGCCGGACCACGCAATGACTTCAGTTCTGCCAAAGACCTAGTCAGACTTACATTGACGACCTCCTTCTCCAGCGCAAACAAACCCTCCTTCTGCTGACTCTGTTGATCTTCTGTCCGCCACTCTAACCCAAAAGTGACGACGAGTGGCTGCTTCAGACCCCGCTCGTACGCGTTCACCCCGATCAAGGTTGGGATCCCTACATCTCTCGCCTCGAATCCTTCCTGGACTTGCTGCTTCTCTCCGTTCTGATTCCACGTTGTCCTCCTCGAAACCACAGCCCCACTTCCCAGCATACTCCCCTTTGGCAAATGTACTTCTACCACACTCTCCTTCACAACGAACTTCCCCTCGCCTTTCAATGCTAGCTGATGAATTGCTTGCTCCGTCCCTGACAGTACATCTTCTACTGTGTGTGAAGATGTAGAGTTTGATCGAATTGCTTTGGCCAAATTCCCGTAATGAATCGTGCTATCGTCCAATTTGTCTTTCTCCGATGCACTTTGAAAAGTGGAATGTAAGAGCAATTTTACATTTAATGTCGCGGGTTGCTCTTTTTGATTCCCCCAGACATCTGGTGTGAGGATGGGAGATGGCAATTGGAGGCCTTGAATTTCGATCTTGTCTTGAGAGGCGTTTGTATGTTCGGCTGAGGCCATCTTGTGCTTGACTTGATGATTCGCCTGAAAGATCGTGCTCACTGAATCGCTTCTTGGCGTATGAAGGTGGGCGTCTTTGTGCTTCGTTCCGTTGACTTGGTGTGGTGGAAAGCTCATGCAAGGTACGAGCTGTCGTCAAAGAGCGAGGTGACGACTCGTGTCAGCTTACCTGGTGTGTTGAGGGGAAGAATCGGAGAATGATGGAGTGAGATCCACTATTGGATTTCGCCTCAGGCTTCTTGCCCGCTTTGCTTGAAGCGAGACGAGGAAGTGGTTTCTGAAGTCTTGCAATAATTGGAAATTTTCGTACAGATTGTGTTACACGAGCTTCGACAGTACCTTAGTTTGGTCAAGTGGTCGGAATCACACTTGCCATCTCCAGCAAAGAGAGTCGTGGAAGGTTTGCGACTTCTTTTCCGGTGCCAAGCGCAAAACTCCCGGGACGGCTATTGACTAAACGAACTAACTCCACTGATCCTTGCACGGATTGCCATAGAAGACTGGGATATCGAGTTGCATGATGGAGTAGATATATTTATGTGAGTGTCAAACGAAGCAAATGCTGAACATATACAATAGTTCACCGCCTGCGTAAGCACCTCGACAGTGCTTTCTAAGAAGCAAACCGAATCTCCGTATCCAGTATCACGATACTCGTCGACAAACCTTGCACATTCATTGCCACCAATTCCCGATCACTCTGCAGACTATACGACAGATTCCCCCAAGGCTGATTGACGATTTTACTGACACTCTCAGGTAATGGGATCACGACTGTTTCGTTATGCGAAGCTTCTGCGACGTTTGCGAGCATTATCATCAGCTGGCCACCGAAATTCCATGCTGCGATGTCGATATCCGTCTTCCCTGTCAGGTCGACGTGACGCTGGTGGATATCGTGTCCATGTGTGTGAGAATGGGAGAATGGGGAGCTTTGAGAGCCGTCGATGATGGAGATGGGGTTGCTTCCTAGCAAAAAGTCGCTGATGGGAGATTTGGTGAACAATTTCGCCATGTGGCCGTGTGCTTCGTGCAAAATGTCTGAAGTTGGGAAGAGCCAGCTCATCATGACTTTTGCGTTGTGGTTCAAGCTGAGAATCATCATGACCCATGTTTCGAGAGGTGTAGGATCACGGGTCCAGTAGAATTCACCTGAGAATGCTTGCAGTACGCTCCAGAGGGGCTTGTCGGGACGTTCGAGCCATTCCTCGTACGCGCTGTAGGTGTCCAAACGCGTGCTGATGTCTCGAAGCGAGCCGATGCAGTTATCGCAACCGCAGTCGCCATAGGTCTCGTTGCAGGTGGTGTTGAACTTCCGACTGAAAGATGGGTCGATGCTGACTGGGTAGGCGTCCTCCATTATGAAGTCCGCGCCGGCAGTGTAGGGCTCGAAGTAGTAGTTATCGCAATTCAAGGCTAAGGCTGTCGGATGATATGGATCTTCTCGCTTCAAGAGGTCGTATGTGAGCTTTGTGGAGTTCAAAGCATACTGCCAGCCATCGGGCTCATCGGCCGTGTACCACGTGAGGAGGTTGGAGCGATCTTTCACTAAAGGTATCTGCTCGGCTACAGAGCTCAGATTGCGATAAGAGTGTCGCATATCATACTGGTACCAGAGGTTGGTGGAGTCAAGCCAGTCGCAGAGAAACCCAAGATCTCCATCAGTGAAAGCACATACTGGGTTGATGGCATTGAAACCGAGATTCTGGTAAACCGTGACGTTCGTGAGGGAGTAGTTGAGATACCCACCACAGCTTGTGTAGAAACCAAAAGGCAAGAATGGTGTGAATTTGTAGTCTGTGGCATTATTGGCCACGATGAGTCCGCCGTTGAGGTTGTCGATCTTGACTGTACTTCCATTATTCTTCGCTGGCAAGAAGTAGAAGTCGGCGTCGGCTCTGTATGTTGCAATGCTTGCACTGTGTCTGACTGTGGCAGAAAGATGGATGGGATGGGGCGTCAGTCGAGGCTCGAGCTTCGCAAGATCAACTTCAACAAGGATTCCCCGAGACCCGACTGGTACTTCACCAGCTGCCAGCAGGTGTTGCGTCTCGTGATTCCGAATCTCAAACTCGAAAGAAGCGTTTATTTTGTTCCTTGGGGCTGCGGTAACAACCATGCCATCGGGAAGCGGCTGACCATGTATACGAGATATTTCAGCATCGACAATGACTTGTGCGTTCTTCTCGCTACTGTCATAGATGCTGTGATGAGGTTGGACTTGTACATGCAGCAAAGGGCTCGGTGCAGGTGCAGGAGGCTCAAGTCTGCCTCCAGGCTCGAAGTTGGGCGAGCTGCAGCGTAGTCAGCCCCATGCATGTGCTGCCGCGATTCGTCTTTGCAATACCCAGCTTCATATGGCTTGCCGCACCACCTGGGTATGTCAGTATGGCTGCCAGAAAGCCCGCCAATATCTGCCTGTGCTGTTGCAGTAGCGCTAACGCTGATCAGATACAGGATCAGACGGGGCCATATCCACGACATTTTGAAGTTGAGAGGTGAAATTCAACATCATGTTGTGGTCCATCGTTAGAGAGAAAGCTGCGAAGCTGCGTACACCGACTGGCGGCAGTCACGGAGATGGATGTCGCGTTGATCGGAGATCCTTGTCGCTGCTCAGCTCCTGCTCGAACAGACGGCAGAAACGACAACCCATATTGAAGCCGCAGCACCCGATCAAGACGACATGTGCTGAGTACAACTTACGCATAATGCTGAGACTATGCATGAGCAGGTCGTGAGTTGAGAAGGACGGCGCGGTGCGGTGACCTGGACGCGAAGTCAATGCTTCGTTCGGCCTTGGCACAACAAACAATCTCGGCCAACTTCGGTCTTCCTTGCTCCTTGAACATCGCTCTCTCCTACACATTCGAAACTACATTGTCCGCTTCTGCGTGCCACATAATATCCCGTTGGTCCACCAAGCCAAGCGACCTGTGGTGCTCGCCTTCTCCGACTTGCACAACCCGCCCCGTGGCGTAGAGTCGTAAGATGCTGTTGGCGACCTGCCTAGTTCAGCGCCGCTCGGCCGGGCCATAGCAGCTTCAGCATGACGGTAACGTCCCTTGACTCGGTCGTCATAAGCGAAAGAGCGTTCAATCACGACAAATAACTCCTGGAAAAGTATCTCGGCACATCGATTTCGCAAGCAAGGTCGAGTATGTGCAATCGGACATCATCCGTCCCCAATGGCATCGACATTATCATCAGAAGGCTGCTTGTGAGTTTCCCTCATGTCAATGGCGCGCCCTCCGCGTCCATGAACGGAGCCGTGAGAGACACGAACACCAGTCTGTAACGCACGAGTTCCTCTAGAAGGCATGCAACTTGACCAATTGATCAGTGTTGGTGAAGCATGCTACTGCTTCAGTAGGGGCCGCAAATGTGGCTATCTCTTGGTGAGCTCATTTGCAAAGTGTTACCTGCAATGCTTCACTGGTACCTGGATGTCACCGGATGTGTCCGGACAAAACATGCAACGAGGCTTGCCTGAAAGGCATCATGCTAACCCTACTAGTCGCGCCTATGATCTCGCTCTTTGTTATCCTCGGTACCTGGATGTACAATGTTGCACCAGCTTGTCGGATCTGATCTTCGTGTGACGAATGGCTTTGCGGAACGACATTCAACACCTGTCTGCTGCAGGCCAGACAAAGAGAAGAACCGACAGATCACCTGGTCTATCAGCTGAGCGCTGCTGGTGATACTCGGTACAGGTCTCATTGAGAGCCGAATACTCATGCAGTGGAGCTGGTGATGGCGGAGAGACATCCTCATCCATCATGGTGGCCAGCTTAGTCGCTGAAACGAAACTTCAAGATCACTGATTCGACCGATGGCAGTTCACCAACATCTTGGCCTCGTTCAAGCCAATATTGCACAGGCACTATGTGACCAGTCGCGCAAACCGCGAGTACGATGAAGGAGTCGGACGGAGTTTCGCACTCATGACGGCCGCCCTGAAGCCGCTGGCATTGATCAGATCGTATATATTCCAAGGAGATTCGACCCACTGTTTTGCGCACTTCCATCACAGCAGACTCTCCATTGGCAACAACAACTACCAATCATGGCGGGAGTTTACAATCTCTTGCTCCTCGTCTTGATCTCGCTCGCTTCAGCATTCCCTCAGCCATCTCTGGACGCGAGACAGGCGTCCACGACCGATGCCCCATCTTGCTCCACGGATGTGCCAGCTTCTGCTCTATCTGTCTGCATCTCTGGTGGCGGTAGGGCAGCGATCACCAGCGTTTGCAGGAGCTTGACATCCACTGCCATCGTGTACGAGACAGTGTCAGTTGCCCATCGATCGATACGATGCTCCCGGAGCTCACGATGATCTAGACAAGTGCCAAGCACCACGACGAGAACCACGACCGTTGGCACCTCTTTCTCCTCGACCGTCACACGCGTTTCGAGCAGGTCGACGACAACAGTGACGACAACGTACGCACTCCATTGAATTTGAGTTGTCATCTGCGTTCTGACATGCCCAGCACCTACACCAGCACCGTCAGAGTGACAAGCGGAACCACGAGCAGCCTTGCTGGAGTGGTCACCACTGGCGTTCTCAGGTAAACCGTCGTCGGCTTGAGAAGCAGAGCTCTCACTCACAACTTGTAGCACGAGCTTCCAATATACGTGCCCGAACTCAGCAAGACCTACGCCGTTTCCCACGTCCACGCCTCCTGATAATACCGTGGGTATCTTCCGCAGACAAGCGAGCGCTTGTCTTCCAGTCCTGCGTAGGAAGTATGGCGACGATGGAATCATCGACGCTTGCCGATGCCTTCGTCCCACAAGTTCAATCGCCACTATCACGGCCACACTGACAGTGACCGCGTTCAGTGGTGTGGTATCTGTTACTGTACGAAGCTTGGACCCTCTCCCCAAAGCTGCACATTTTTCTGACATCTACAGGAATCGAGAACTGCAACTTTGCGCACCACAAGGACGACGACAACTACTACGTTCACGGCCACCTCCGTTGTCAGTTCTGATATTGCGACCTCGACCACGGTATGTACGTTGACCCTTCAATGTCGCAACCAGACTCATTTTGCTCGCAGATTCCGGACACCGTCCCATTCACTAGCACTGTTACGACGACAGATGTCACCACAGTCACTACTGCATATCCTCTCCCAACTGGCCGCTTCCGAATCTTCATGAATATAAACGGACAGAGGCTCTACGGAAGGAACATCGAGGCTGCCAGCAACGATAACGGAACAGATGTCATCGCACTCGTGCCCGGCAGGAATGGCGCAGCTTCTTTCGGATTCAACAATCTTCTCAACTTGATCCTCTCGGGCACCCAGACCAAAATTGCAGTTGAGCAGCAGACTTGGGCAGTACCTTTCGTGTACCTTGTTCCGAATGGCCTGCCTCTCGACGATCCTTGGACTGCTCCGACCTTTGCTCCATGTGACGCTACCCTCGTCGCAACTGGAGCTCAGTCAAACTACGTCTTCGCTGCATGCTTTGGTGGAAACGAGCCAAATCGTCTTCTTGCCTTTGGATCTCGTGGAGTCTGGTCTGGGAGCAGCAGTGGTGACGGTGATGCCGCTGAAGCTATGCAGAATGGCACCTGTATTGCTGGCGCAGTGGGAATCGAGGCTGTCTCTGGTTCTCTCACTCCCACGCCGAGCTCTCCTTCCTCGCCAGCAGAGACCACAACATCCACTGATACTTCTACCCCTGTGTCAATCGATTCTACAACTACAGAGTCAGCCACCGATACTGATCAAGAGTCGACCTCGACCCCGACGAGCGCAGACGAAGCGACCTCTCCAGGCGTGACATTCGCACCAGAACCAACAACCTCATCTACCGACACTTCTACTACCAATGAAGGACCCTCTACTACGTCCGAAACTATCGCTTCAGACGATGGGCCTCTTCCTCCAGTTACGCAAAGCCCGACTGAAGAATCGCTCGAAACTCCACCAGCCTCTCCACCTCTCGCTCGCGCTCCAGAAGGCTACTGGCTGTAGGACCACGATCCAGAGACTCACCTCAACTAAGGAAACACAATGGAAATGGCGGACGGCGTCAAGGCGTTCTTCGTTGCTGGTTCAACTTGGCTGTGTAATCGTTGGGAAGGTCGATGGGGCAATGACCATGGTCTGACAATGCGATGCTTCTTGAGAATTGATCGATAGCTAGGTTCACCGACGAAACATATAGCAAATTATGCTGGGGCGTGCGACATTCGATCCTGTCCTTTCCGCTTGTCCGCATACACATCGCAGGTGGTGGCTACTCCAAGCTTCGATCTGGTTTTGCCCCTTGCATCGTTTTCCTCGCAGGGCCTCAATCCTTCAAAACCATCTGGACTTTCGAAAGATGCATCTGATCGAACTGCGGATTTGTCCGGAGTGTGCTCCTTCAACCATTGCCAATGATGAGGTGTGTATGGGCGCAAAATCCGTGAACGCCACACATGAACGACCATCTCTCTCAACTCAAATGTGGCTTTTCAAAGTCCTTTTGTACTTCCATTGACGCACGAGGCTGTTCCTGCCATCGAACCCTTTCTCACGCGGCGTCGCGTCAATTCCCAGAGATCATCCCTCGGCTACCCCAGAATTTGGAACAAACAAGCTTATTTTCTAAACCAAATTCGCATTCGCGCCAAATAACTGCCGCTACTATCAAGTTTTGTCGCGGCTGTCGTTGATCACTGCTGTAATTGTTTCTAGTCGTCCAAGCTTCCGTTCTGCCGGCGACGGACACCAATCCGAATACTTCGAGTTACACAGCTCGGGACTGGTTAAATACCTATGATGGTTGTGGCTATAGGCGGCTTGCGGCTGCACCAGTGTGGTGGGACGATCGCACTGCGATGGGGGGTATTCCCGACTAATTCGCGAAACGGACAGAACTACACGTTATATTAGTAGGATGGGTTTTGTGCTTTTGGAAGTATTCCCTCTCGCTCCTCCCTCGAACGTCCTGCTATCTCCTCCGTCGCAGAAGTCCATAGCATTCCAAAGGAGCATCCTGGGAACCACATATCCACCCCATCGATCAAATCCAAAATGCTCTTCTCAACACCCACAATCTCCCTCCTCCTCACCACCCTCTTCACCCCAACACTGCTCGCCTCACCCATCTCCGCCCCAGAAGCAGTCGCAGCAGCAGCAGCAGCCCCGTGCACCTCCGCCCGCAAAATCGAAGGCATCAAACAAGAACTCCGCACCATCATCTCCCACTCCTTCGCCGACGCCGCCAAAATCCCTCTCGCCCCCCTCGCAAGCCGCACATTCATCGTCCTCCCCACCGAACTCCAAACTTTCTTCGCCGTCCCTCTTCCTGTCAACGTCGGTTTCACAGCGGACACTGTTCGAGCGGAACTCGTGGCTTTGGGAACGATTTTGGATGCGGATGTTCCTGGTGGACCGGATAATGGCGCGACATTTACTGTTAATCAGAATGGGACTGTGACGGTGGATTTTGTGCAGGTGAGTTGACCGCGGCCGTCGTTGTTATGTTTTGGGTTGGTGTGTGAGATGCTGAATTGATTGATTGATAGACGGACCGCATTGCGTTGCCGAGAGTTGATGTGAGAGAGATTCATTCTTTCAATGAGCAGTGTGAGATCACGAAGATTTTGGGATATGTGAGGGGCCCTCTCGTTTAGAGGTATGGGATGACTGCTGTAAGTTCGATCTTGTAAGAGACAGCTAATGGATCACGAGAGCTCGTATTACAGAATATGGTGTCTCGATTGAGATTGCTTTTGGTTGTGCTACGTATGATTATCCACTGTAACACGTTTGCGGCAGCTTCTTATTGCTCCAGCTGTCAAATCCAACGAAGCATGCTATACCGTCGCAAGAGTAACGGAGCCGCTCAGAATTTTGCTGCCAAGCGCATGCGACACTGTTGCGTTAAGAGGACTTTGCTACATTCTTCGCACGATGCCTCTGAAGTCCCATCACTTCCGGGCTTGGACCTAATCGTTGCTGCCGCCCATTTCATCGTCGAATGATCGAAGCTTTTGGAGATCTTGTCAGACGCCACAAGAAAGCTGGGACAAACCCATTGTGCTTCTTTGCGTGTAGTATGCCTCCCTTTCAGTCTTTGTCCTCAGACTCAATGACTTCGCTCTCCTCTGCCTTAGCTGCCTTAGCCTTAGCTTTGTTTTTTGGGAGCAAAGCATTGAGCTCCTCTTCCAGAGCCCGGAGGAGGCCTGACGTTTCCATCGAATCTCGTTGCATGCGGGGCACTGCGGTGCGATCTGCTTGGTGCGGTTCAGGGTACAAGTCAGTCATATGGCCAACCGTCAGTGTGATCTTTGAGACTGCTGTGAGTTTGCTGATGGCCCTAGAGACCGTGTTGACGGCCGTCACGAAAATCGAGTGGACGACATGCGGACGACACAATTCCCGAAAGAAATCGGCCTCAGTGCCACTGTCAAAGACCAGATCCAACGTTTCGACACCGGGCATATTTCTCGAGATCGTACTGCTCACACCCGGCAGAGCCCAGGAGGTTGCAACGTGCATACGCAATGTCCAAATGTTTTCAAGTCGTGCGCCACTGAACTGAATATATAGCTGGTCCATCATGTTACGATCGATGCCGATCGGGTTGATACCGTAGCAGACTCCGACGGCCTCATGATAGATCCGACGGCATGTTGCGAGCAGCGCGAGGTTGATACCCTCATGTTTGGTTGCGAAGCTGTCCTTCGTGCCGACTCGAGCGTCTTTTGGGCAGAGATAGATCTCTGTAGCTTCGGGGTCCTGCATGCTGAATGCGTAGTAGTACACTTCATTGCGCAATTCAGCGCTGAGCTTGAAGAACACGGACTGCGTCTGTGACTCGGCTCGTTTCGAGATATAGGTCGCCATGGCCGCAGTCCGTGACTCGGTTCGTTTCGAGATGTAGGTCGCCATGGCGTCGGCTTTTTCTGTGCTGTATTGTTGTGGAGGATGAGGATGTAAAGGAGTGCCTCATGTATGGAGTGTGCCGGTATGTCTTGCGCCAGTGACGCGCGCGTATCAAAGAGTGACTGTCCATACAGCGGTGATTATCGAGGCAGATCACGGGACTCGATCAAGAGTGAACAATGCTACTGTTCACCCTGGCTGCCGATCCCTCCCGCGATTTGCGTCTTGGCTGCAGTCCCGAGTTTGTTACTCTGGGAGGGCACTTACAATGGATATCGTTCAAGTCGTCAGTTTGCTGTCGTCGATGTTGCCAGAAGTAGGTTGACGGCATTCAAGCTCGTTTGCTCTTGGGGCGCGTTGAAGTGCATCCATATTGGACAGCCTGAGAGCGAAGCCATAGCCTGCCAGATTTGCAACCACGGGATGGCCGCAGAGAGCACGACAATGGCCAGACGATAATCAAAGCGCTAGCGTTCTAAGGTCTGCACGCCAGACTGCGCTCCTGTATCGAGAGAGCTGGTCAATATCAGCTCGGCTCATTGCTGACTTTCTATCGTCAAAATCATCAATTCCGCCGCGTCGTCAACTGCTTTCGTTGCGCGCGCGTCGATCAGAATGCCTTCACCGAGACATCATCTTCCCGCTCCAGCGCTGTCTCGGCAATAATACCATGCTGGTCAGATCGACATGAGCTTCTTCGAGACAGAGAAGACGGATGAGGAAATACTCTGCGGCGACCACAGAGATATCGTGGACGATGCACTCCTCTAGCTGGCGGCCAAAATGAGCCTCGACGACATTGTCCAAGCCCTCAACGAACTTCACCTCTCGCATCGTTTTGGTACAGTTCTCCAGAGATCAGTTATGGGAATTCGTTTCACGAGGTCGCTCCTCAATGTATCGAAGAAACGAGGAATGGCGGAAAATGCACTGCGTGTTGTTTTGATGGCGATTCAGGAGGCCAATGGTCTCAGGCCCTGCAAGGACTGGATTGCCATCAAGGGGGAAGAACGAAGGATGGAGGCGACGCAGGCTTTGCTCGAGCTCAGCGGTCGGGTGGTGAAGTTTAAGGATGGCTGAGAGTGAGGGCGAGCCTCCGGAATTCTCATTCATGTTGCGTGGAGCGCTACGCTTGCAAGTGTGCATCTCATCCATGATGTTCAACTCAAGGCAGTGGTCCTAGAACTGGAGCACTCACCAGCCAGACAGGTGATTGGGGAACAGGCCGTCGATGCTGTGGACGGTGAACGACCCAGACGAGCATTCAGATGCTTGAGCATATGGCGAGAACAATGCTGATCGAGCTGCCATTACGGTAAGAGAACCCGCGACAGCTTCTAACGGAGCGTCATATGGCCCTGCTCCTGGATGCTGAATTAGCATTGCTTCACATGTAATAATAGTGGCGATGCTGTACCTTGCCATTGACCCTGTTAGGCTGTAAGCTCGTGGATGGCTCTATCACGGCTTCTGACTGTGCAGGGCCGTGCTGGAACCCTTTCTCATGCACCACCACAATCCGTGTGCGTGCTCATTCACCTACCTCTGGGACCCGCATTTTCACTTTCGTAGCACCGCGACGGTCAAGCGCCTGCGTCCCGCGCTGAAAAGGCCTTCGGACTTCCCAACACTTTGCTCCATACACAAACGTCAACCAACAAGCGCTTGCTCAAACATTCAACAGCTTCGACCACCTCTTCGCTCTTCTACATCGAACACCACCTCGCCCTTCCTCTTCGTTCTTCCACTTCTCGACCTCACCACCGGAAGCAACGGCAACTTGTGCAGGGTCACGAAGCACAACAAGGCCCCCCTTTTCATCGAAATAAACGCTCAATCAGATCTCTATACACAGCAACGATCCCTCTTGTAGAAAATGGCACCCACAGCGACACCAAGTGCTTCAGCCCAGCCAGCTGCCGGCAATGCCAACGTGATTGTGGTGTCCAACACTCAACACACCGTGCCGGTGGATGAAACGTTCGAGACAGGCATGCTCGATGGCGAAATTCTCTGCGGAGACGTCCAGGAGATTGTCCACGGTCGGCTCATGCAGCTCATGGCCAAATACGACACCAAGGTCATTCTCCAGATGCTGGTGGAGCTTCACAAGGCCGGTGCGAACGACGGTTTCGAGGTCCTCGCGACGAAAGGGCTCGATGCTCGAGTCACAAAGGCTTTTAGGTGGGCAGCTAAGGGGTACGGCTATGGCGAATCTCAGGAGGAGGTTCACAATTTCCGTGAGCAGGTGTTCAACCCTACCGCCCTCGCCAATGGTCGCGCCGCATCGCGCAACCACGCTGTGGAGAAGGCACAGGATGTTGAGATCGCGAATGCTGCAGATCTTCTGCTTGGACTAGTGGAGAGTGCTGATATTGACGAGACCGAGGGCACTGAGCAGTGAAGAGACTCGAGTCTCTTCCGGGCTTGGCTCCTGGTCCATATGAGTGTTAGTACATACTCTCATGCATACCTTGAAACACATACTAACCTGTTCCCAGTACATCATAGCCAGTCTAAGACACTGCTCTGGTTCTCATCGCCCATGGAAGGGTTCCAATAGGCCCCTTCAAGTCAGTCGAGCCATACATCTTTTCGAAATGATGGACTGACCTTTGAGCCTAGAAGCATTTCATGGATCTCCCGTACATACTCTCCTGTTCTCACGCCGCCATTGGCACCAAACATACAAGACCATCCGCCGAAGGACATCGATGGCCGGCGGAGGCATTTGAGGAACAGTGTACCACTGGTTCGAGGGCGGTGTACACTTCGTCATTTCTGTTCTGATATGGCATCAGCGAGGCGTTCGGTGGATATACCCCTTTTGCGCTTGGAGTTTCTCGTTCTTCGCAAACACACTTGATTGCTTTTCACTTCCTTGCGACTCATTTTGTTTTCGTCGTGTCTTCTGCCCTATCGTGCTCAACTGATCGAAAGCCAGCGCCATAATCGTTCTGTAATGCTGTATGCGCCCGTAGCATCAAGGTGGCGAAGCCTTCTGGAGGGCACTGAGGCCTTGACCTGGAGGGCCCGGAAATGGCAAATGACCTACTGAAACCACTTCTTTCGCATCACAGAGCTCACAGGGAGGTAGCAGCGGGATGGAGGGTCTTCGGCAACTGTTTGCATCGCGAAGGCCACAATAGTCCTCAAGTTCTGCGGCCGTGAAGCTTCGCTGGCAGAGGCCCTTCGTAGCAGTATTTTGACTTGCCAGTATGTCTTCGGGTGCTTTTCGTCATTGCTGATCACACGTCCTTCTCTTCGTGTGAAATTCGAATTTACTCCGAAAGTTGGGCGTAAGCTTTGCATTCAAGCAGAGAGTAGCACATGGCAAGCCACATGCAAAGAAGCTCTCTCCTTCACCACAACCTTCTGATTGTCTGCTTTATTCACTGCAAACATGTTTGTCTGCTGATGTGCGCCGGTACCTCAAATACCCTCTCTGTCAGCCTCTCTAACAGCTCTCTTCCACTTTTCAACACACCTTCTGACTTACCGACTTCGATCGCCCTTCACACCCTACACTGTACACCTTCGACGAATTTGTACCTACTTGGAACCCGCTCGAGCCGCTTATACTACCATATTCTCACTATACACACATCCAGTCAAAATGGCCACCAACCCAACAAACATGGCCCTCTTCCCACCTACCACCGATGCCGGCAACAATGGCATCTTGCAGAACATCGTTTGGCAGGGCCGCAACGTGCCAGCTTACGGTACCATCGACCAAGCCACGGGACAATTCTTGGTCCACCACATTCCAGCAGACACCGACTTCGAGCTGTGCGAGCCAGACGGGGTTATCATCGGCACGGTCGACTCGGTGAAGAATGACAGACTGCTCCAATTGCTGTCAAAGGATCCAGACACCCAGTTCGGCATCGTCGCCAAGATAGCCGCCGCACATGGCAATGGAGTGCTATCACAAGCTAGCCTTGCGGCTCGTGTCGGACAAGCATTTATATGGATGAAGGATCAGCTTGGTCTGCCGGATGTGGCGCACGTCAGGGTGATGTTTAACATCGCGCGTAGGAAGAATGGCTGCAACCCGGCGGGAGGTCTAGCGACTCGGATAACCTGGGTCAACGAGGGTCTGAATGATTGAATGTATGCTGGAGACGTTCGGTGGAATCGTCAGGAGAGTCAATTTGGCGTGCTCAGGTAAGAGAATTCTGTATGAAGCATGATCGTCTCCAGCTAATCGCGAGATGCAGTGGTCACTAGGAGCGAATGTGGTCAGCTGCTCATTCAGAGCTGCGCGCAGAGTCATGGGATCGTTGGGAATGGTGCGGAGCGTGGAGAAGCCCAGCGAGGAGATCAAGCTTGCTTTCTCTGCGGACATATATTAAAGCGAGGCGCTGTCATATCGCAACCTTCCACAGAGCGAGCATTCGAGCGGCTCGAAATACACACCTTGCAGAAGCAGATTTTGGTCTTCTCTATTTTCTTTCCAAGTGCAAAAGCCTTCATGTCGCTGATTTGTACAGTGTCAAAGAGTCTTGAACTATAGCAATAGACCTTGCAGTATGCGAGCGGCGATGTTGAGAGTGGAGGTGAAGTCGCGATGCTGGCCTGGCTTCCTTTCTTGGCAGCTCCAACCCGCGCACGAGTCATGTTCAGTCAGACATCATGTCCATACATTTTTATTCGGCGCGATTCAAAAAGCCATGCAAGTATCTGTTCTGTACAATTCTAAACCAATTGCGCAAGTTTTGGTGAGAGGTGCACGCGACATCGGCTCGAATATATCCTTCTGTGCTGCTATGATCATCTCTCGATTCAACACAATCTAGCAGCCTAAATACTCCCCATTCTTGTCGACATCGCTAGTACTGTAGCTGAACTGATTAATATACAGCACGGAAAGCTGACGGAATTCCACGTATTGAACATGTTGATGCATCGTTCTTGTGTTCCCGCTCTCTTCCACCCCCCCTCTATGATCTCACCGCTCACTCGGCCATTCGCAGTCACCTAATGCACTTACCCGTCAAACAGTCATAAAGGAGGAACATTGCTGCCTATCATCAACAAGCCGCCGTAGTGCAGTGGTAAGCACGTTACATTGTGGTCAATCCAATTCTGCAAACTGTGAAAACCCATGTTCGAATCAGTAAGTTGGCTTCCACCAAACCAAGCCCACAAGTGATCTGCAGAAGCTAACCCGACAATAGTGGCGGCGGCAAGAACGCTGAGGTAATTTTCGTTCGTTTCCAGGTTGACATATGTTTTGCACTTGCATGGACACTTTGGAGTAATCGAAATCGTTGGGCGTGGGAGGCAGCGTCGAGCCGACCCTTTTGACAGAGCCGGACTTTTTTTTTTTTTTTTTTTTCTTT